CGCCGTCCCTGCCAGTATGAGCTCCAGGCCGGAGAAGCCCCGCGGCTTGATGGAGAACAGAAAGGTACGTTTATTCTCCGGAAGACTTGAATACACTTTAGTGTGTATTTTTATTGAAATACGTGTAGGTTTGTACCACAAATCTTAGTTTACTGTAGTAGTGATTTTTGCAAAGAAAAAAAAAAGTTTATTTATTATTATTTCTCTAAATAAAATGTGTTTAATTGCACATGTAGAGTTAAGCTATGAGTTTGGTAAAAAAAAAAAAAGTTTCTATCTGTTATTAGTCCAGATGTAAAAGTAGTAGTAACAGTTATAATAAATAATAATTATAATAATTAAATAAAAAAAGTTAAGAAATAATTAATAGTAATTATTATTAGCAATAACAATTACAGTAAGAACCGTCCTGAAATGTTGCATGATGGACAATATTTTGACTGGGTTTTTTTTGTTTTTTTTCCCCTCAAGTCTTCCAAACCAATCATGGAAAAACGCAGACGTGCTCGGATCAATGAGAGTCTGGGTCAGCTGAAGACCCTCATCCTGGACGCCCTCAAGAAAGACGTGAGAACACCCACGAGCTTCACGTTGACTTTTTCCCCCACTTTGTGCGTCCAGAACTAAACCTTGTCTTTGTCTCCCTCCCTGCAGAGTTCCAGACACTCCAAACTGGAGAAGGCAGATATACTGGAGATGACCGTGAAGCACCTGAGGAACCTGCAGCGCCACCAGCTGACTGGTAACTAACATTTCCTGCCGTTCATTTCTTCATCGTGTTCCAGCGTAGTTGTTGTAACAGTAGGAAACGTATGTAGGAAACGTTTGCACTTTAAGTTATTGTTTTTAATCGCATTATATTTACAATTTATGCGAAACGACCCATAAAAAAACTCTTGCGACCCACCCGAGGGTTGCAACCCAGTCTTTGCGTTAAGTGAGTTTAAAAGAGAATAAAACAATAAATTGAATAAGTGCAGAAATGCTCATCATTTTCATTCCCCCCCCACAGCTGCTGCGACCACAGACCCATTAGTTCTGGGTAAATACCGAGCCGGGTTCAGCGAGTGCGTCGGCGAGGTCACGCGCTTCCTGTCCACTTGCGAGGGTGTGAACACGGTGGTGAGAACGCGCCTCCTCAGCCACCTGGCGGCGTGCGTGACCCAGATCAACATCTACGCTCCTCAACCGGGTCCGATCGGATCGAGTGCTGCGCAGATAGCGCCCCCCTCGGCCACGCAGATGCCCTGCAAAAGCGTTTCGGGGCTGCACCTGCCACCGGACGCCGTCAAGCTGTACAGTGGCTTTCAAGTGGTGCCGTCGCCGGACGGACAGGTGACGTTCCTGGTCCCCAGCGCTGCACTGGTGCCCGTGAACGCTCCGAGCAGCCACCACGCGTCGGCCGTTGCGGCCCCGCTGATCTCAGACTCCGTGTGGAGACCCTGGTAGAAGAAAACCTTCTCTGAACATACTGTACAAAGGACCCCTCAAAATAAAACACTATTTTTTTGTACATTTTGTAAATGTTTCTATAAAAACCGAGTTTTCACACATTTGCCTTTGAACGAACGCGTAAAGATTTTCTTCGCCTTGTATTTTTCTTTGATTTAGACGTGACGTATGACATGGTACAAGTCGTTAGGCTCAGGAAATGGAACGGAATGGAAACTTTGTCCTCAAAAAGCTCTTGAATAGCACTGTATTTTTTACACGTTAATAAAATGTTTCTATAATATTTGCTGCATTTTTTTCTTGGAGTCATTTCACTGTTTTGCATAAAGTGGTAAATTATGTATGAGTCATAATTTTGGCTGAATGTTTAATTTTTTTTTAACCTGCTGTTTGACTGTGTGTCACAAAATACCCTACAGGGCCGCGACCCAGTCTTTGGGAAACGATGTCCTAACTGGTCTTTTCAAACTTGATAATCCCTCTGCGGCGACATGAAACTGTAAATAAACAGCGGCCAGTGTAGTTAAGGAACCCGAGACGGTGCGTGGAGCCCGGAGGGCGTGCTGCCAACCAGTTGAATTGGCAGGATGTGCTGTTGACACGTGCTGGCCTGTTTGTTCGCCTGCCAAAAAAGAAATGTGAAATGGACAACACTGGTGGTGGAGCTTCTGTCGGGGTCAAACGGAGCTCAGGCTGATGGGATACCGCTACCCCGGGATTAAGTGCTGGGAACGTGTCATCCTGCTGTCATTCTGTACTACAGGAGGAATACATTAGAGCCATGCAATGTAGGGCTAATCTGAAGGGGTGCTTGAGGTGGTGGTGCGTTATCCTAGGGACCGTCATAAAATTGGTGTAGAGGAAAACTGGACGGTTAATTCAAAATTTGTAATTATTTTTTTGGAAAAAAAATTCTATATTAAATTATATTTAGTATTTAGGTATTTCTAAATAACTGATGTTACTCAACTTGACTCTACTCTGAGCATTTTCTGTCTGACCCTGAAGTAATCTGGTAAAAATCAATGTAAAACCTGGCGTAATCGAGTTTTAATAGAGCGTCAGACTAAATCTTTTTATAAAAATATTTTACTATCTAAGTAAGAAACATGAACAAGTGTAGCTGTGTCTCCGATCTATTTCCTGTATTTTAGGGACTCCAAACCACTTTATTGTAACGGTGTTGTTTGGATCCAAATCCATTAGAAATGAATGGTGCATTTAATAAATGTCTTTAAACCTCCATTGCATTAGCATGAACCATTACCTTCAGAAAGGCTTTACAGACCCCCGCTGTAAGCCATCGCTATCATCTGAAATGATTAGATAATATATGTGTGTTTAAACAATGGCCCTGTAATCATCATCAGCGGTGGTCCTGCCGCGGCAGTCAAATCTTTGTCCATTTAGCGGACGGTGGAAGGCGCGATGGTCCCAGCGTGCGTCCCGAGTGTGCTGCTCCCGCAGCGGGGCCGCAAGCCGAGCGTGACCGGAGGTCACAGGTGCCCCTCATTCAGCCCCTTAAGACAACTGGGCTCTGACAGCATGTTGTCCTGAATCCAACTGTCCGTCAACGGCACCGGGAGCCCGTCAGCAGAGGACGGGGCCTCCCTTTGACAGCGTCCCACGGCGGCACCTCCTCAGTCCAAACCAGGATTTTTTTTTTTGTCCTAGTCACGGACTTTGAGAGTCGACTCAAGAAGTGACCGCTTGTTATCTTTAAAGAGCACACAAACAAACAGAGGAAAGATCCTCCGCCGACTTTCACACACGACGGACGATGCGGTCAGTTGAGTTTGCACCTCCGTCGCGCCGCCGCTCAGAAGAGTTCGCGGTGAAGAGGACTAAACGGCCGACATAAAGCTCGCCCTCATATCAGATCATCCTTTGAGAAAATCCTGTGGAAAACAAAAACAAAGACGGGCCCCTCACCTCCTCAATGGCTCCTGTCTTTGTGACCCTCTCCATCTTCATAAAGGCCCTTCCTCTTGTTTATCCAGGCAGAGGTTTTAATGGCTCGGAGGGGGAAGGACCATGCTGTCACTTTCACCGTGCTGAAGGAGCCTTATTGTCCCTGGCTCCGTCCAAAGGCTCTGGCTCTCTTAGAGGACTCTTCAGACCAGGCTGTGCTCTTCAGATAAGATGAAGTGTCGCAGGTCGCTCATATCTAAGGTGCAAAACAAGAGTGGGTTTTGTCTTTGACAAAAGGAAGCCATTCTTGGGGAAAAGAAGTGCTGTTTACCCATACTGGTCCCTTACTCTCTTATCTTTTGTCTCTCGCTGGCCCCTTTGTAATCANATGCAGTATTTTCTCAAAAACTTGTAAAGCATTGAACAGTAAACAAGTAGCTGGATAGGCCCCGGCCCTTTTTTTTTTTTTTTTTTTCTGTCCGCCTTGATCGATGTCTTTCTCTCACAAACACGGTGACAGGTTCACACTGACACACACCGGAAACCTCCAACACCTCCTCCCACGGAGCTGAATTGGTGTTGTTTTGTCCCCGGGTTGTTATGGAGCATGACGGGGGTGGTGGGTGGAGGCACACGGAGCCTGATGAATGGATCATACACTGGATATCAATGGGGAATGGACGCTGGTGTGTTTTGATTTAGCAGGTTGTTTTTTTGAAAACACACTCTCACCCACTGGTGGAAGTGTTGTTTCCGGGGGTGGGGAGGGGTAAATAAATTATCATTGAATCTCCGCGTCACAACAACAACACAGGAGGGGGGAAATTTATAACTTTGGACCCACGCACTGCGATGATGGTAGCTGCACATCAGGAGTCACGCTCCTCAAGTTATTGATAAATATGGATTTATAAAGATCTTTAACAGAAAAGTGTTAATGCATGACTTTTACTCATCATTTATCTAAGTTATTGATAAATATGGATTTATAAATGCATATTATAACTGGAGAAGACATAAAGTTTAAAAACTAACCCCTACAAATTATGGCGCCAAAAAAAAAAAAAACTCCATCTGTGCCCTAATCGCTCCGTCTTGATTGTTTGTTGGACAGGCTAAGTGCACCTATGAAACCTTCCAGGGCCAACAATGGTTAATAATCTTTTACCACAATAATGTGAAGAGCACTCGAGCACTGCTTTATTGTGTCTTTTCACAGACAAGTGAGAGCTTCTTTAGAATCGGGTTTTCCCCTCGAAAAACTCGTGGGAGCGTGGGAGTTCTAGGTGTCTCCTCACTTTAAGGACTGATAATATGCAACCAAGGCCTGCATGCATGCATAATAAAAACCGCTAAAACCGCTAAAAAACCCGGGGCGAGCCGCTGAAGGAGCAGGTCCCGAGGGCAGCAGGACCAGATTCATTCTCCATAATTGTAATGGGATGATAAGAAGCTTATAGCTCCTCCTCATCCTTCAATGGGCACAGACAAGACGGGGCAGCGCTGAGATTACCATGCTGATGACATCTCTTCGTTGGTAAAACAACACACATCAGGTCATGTGTTCATAATTTGGCCTGCGCTCGGGGCGGGGGGGCGGGGGTTGAACATTGACCCTTGTTTGTAAGCAAGACCGCCGCGTTGAGTGTGTTTAAATGGCCCGTTTGTGTCTTGGAGATGTTCAGGTCATCGTATCATGGACGATGTGTGTCGCCTTCTTAGGACTGAGAGCGAGAGGATCTAATGGACACCTGTTCACATGAGTGCGAGTGGTGGTTGTCATCGTTTCACGATTGACTGCACTCATTGGAGCGAAGCTGAAAGAGGAAACAATGAGCAAAGCCACGAGGTGAAATATAAATATTCTCTTAATGAGTCTCCTGGAGAAAGAAACCTTCTTTCTCCTTCTTTGTTTTTAATGCAGTGATGATTATTTTTGGTGATGCCTTGACCAGTTTTGGGAATCATTCGGCAGAATATTGATGGAATGAAAACTTCTTTTAAGTTTTTTTTTTTTTTAGCCCCAGGCCCTAAGTCTCAGTTGACCTCTAGTCTTTGTCCGGAGGACCCTCACCCTGCCCTCACCTCCTCCCTGCTCACTGGCCAGTCTAAACTCTGTGGGAAACACCTCCCTGTGCATTGTGTTGTTGTTGGACATTGTGCGTCTCAACAGATAATGTCTCCTCCCCTCTGTTTCCTGCATCTCCCATCAGAGGAGCTGATGTCCGACGCTAACTGCCCGCCATGTCGGACACAGAGTTGGGGGTTAAAGAGTGCTTTTCATTGTGCCCCCCAGGACAGAACTCACACCCTGCTGATGAAAGTCTCTGAGGCAGTTCAGGGAGAGTATGTGGCATTGATGGATGGTGCTTTGGTGATTGGAGGGAATTATAATAAAATGAAAAGACAGTGAAGGGAGGCTATTTTTCTAGACTTCTCAAATGTTTTTTTTTTCTTAAAAAATTTGGATCTGATTAATCAAAGAATTAATTCTGATTTTTCTTCTTGGGCTAAATCATATATAAATATATATAATTATATATGTGATCATATGATTTATTTATAAAATACATTTTATATATTTATATATATGATCTAGCCTAAGAAGAAAAAAAAAATTGTAAAAAAATTAAATACAATGTATAACACACACATGCAGGGTACTGCAGGGAATAACCTGTATCTACATGTAAAGAGATTTGTGAAAGTTTGCCATATCTCACGCCCTACGATTCCTCATAAACGGTCCGTAAAGGGTTAATATATATGTAAATAATATCATAACTGTCGCGTCTCTACTTCATGGTTTTTCACCTGTCGCCTGTGGTTCATTGTATATCTTACTCTTACTTTAATTTACAAATATTCACAGGTTGTTTACAGGTGTGTTTGCCGATGACAGTCTAATATTTATTGACCGCTAATTGCTCATTTGCTAACACCGCTAACACTAAACGTGTTCTTTACTGCTGCGGCTCTGGTCAAGAGAGCTTTTCCTCTGATGTAAGCCCATCCTTACACACACTGAAAGTAAGACAGACCCCAGGTTTTGTCACATGAATAGTGATGTCATTCAGCTCAGACCGAGGACCCAATCGACCTTTTGGCCTCCGACCCTTGTTAAGCCTGGGTAGGAGTGCTGTATTCAAGGTGTAGCCATCTGTGTCCCTTGTTGTGCTGAGTCTTTCCTCCACCCCTCTTCACCGTCCCTGTCTGTATTCAACAGGAGTGGAGGAGTGAAAAGACGACTGGTGGATCTGGATAAGGTCTTTAGAAACCAGACGACACAGCAAGTTTTTTCAATTGGACCCGACTGTCCAATTTCTTTGGACCACGAAAAACAAACAAAAGAGTTTCATCTCAATGCTTATAATTTATAACAGTTACTCTCCTTTTGTGAGCTGATGCGGAAGAGATAACACCAGCAGAGGGCAGCATCACTGCAGGTGAACAAACCACCACACAGCACCAGGGCCCAAAATTGAAATCATCCAATGATTAACTTCTTCAGACATTTACATTTAGAGTGAAGCTTTAACGTTAGCCTGTTGTTGGTGTGGATATTGAACTTTAAACATCCCCCAGAAGACAGTTCATTCACCTCCGTCTCATCCTCCTGCAGACATACGTTGCGTAACATAACAGCTGAGTATTTACAGTATTGACTGAATGTAGTGGAAAAGACAGGAAATGTTCAAAGCTGTGTTCTAGTGGTGAAGAGAGTGGACTAAAGCCTGTCCTTTTCTCCCCTCGTGTCATTTCTACACCGAGAGAGTTCAGGTTCATTTTTAAAAACATGTTCCTTGACAATTTTACCCTCTTCCTCAAACTGCAGCTTCACCGTCAGAGGAGAACATTGGTCCACGTTACATTTCATGATCATGGTGTCGTTGAAGGTTTGGAGGCTGCAGTGGCTCACATCAGGCGGTAGGTGTGTAGACACTGGACACACCAGCTGGATCTGGTCAACCGAAACGACTGTTCGTCCCCGTAAAAAATCTGGGCTCAAGCAGAAAACCCTGTCCAGCATCTGCACTTCTCGGCTGTTTCTCCGAACCCAGTCGTGCAGGTACCACATGCGGCAGTCGCATTTCCAGGGGTTCCCGTGAAGCCTGACGGTGTGCTCCAGGAGAAAAGTGTCAAAGAGGCCCGAGGGGATGGTTTCGAGCTGGTTGTTGGACAAGTAGAGCTGCTGCACCAGCTCCTGGTCCACTAACAGGTTGGGTGGCACATTGGTTAAGTTGTTGGTCTGGAGGTGAAGGGTTTTTAAAGTCAACAGACCATTAAATATTCCCTCAGGGAGGAATGTGAGCTGGTTTTCAGACAGGTCCAGGTTCTCCAACAAGGTCAGGTTTGTAAAGGTGTCCTCGGGAAGGTATGAAAGATGGTTCGAGGACAGTATAAGGTCAGTGAGAGACAAAAGGCTGCTTAGAGAGGACAGTTCAGCTAGTCTGTTCCCTTTAAGGTTCAATTCTAACAAATTAGGAACATTCAAATCAAACACTTTATCACTGAAGGTTCTCAGACGGTTTCCTCGCAGGTTCAACACAGTTAAGTTTGTCAACGCAGAGAAGACACCGTCGGGGAGTTCCGATATCTTATTTCCTTCCAGGTTAAGCTCCGTCAGCCGAGAAACATTGTGGAAGATATCAAATGAAATATTGCTAATGAAGTTGTAATTTAATTTTAGGATCTCCAGTTTCGAAAGACCAGCAAAGGTGTCTGTTTTTACCTGTTCAAGCTTATTTTGAGACAAGTCCAGGATCTCGAGGTTGCCGAGGTTGAAGAAAAGAAATTCCGGCAGGTGGGATATGATGTTTCCCTTCAACTGCAGAGTTTTCAGTTGTTTCAATCCGTCAAACATACCAGGCAGCACCGTCTTAAATTTGTTAAAATTGAGGAGCAGTTTGGTCAAATTTCTCTGTCTCGAAAAAGTCCCAAGAAGCAAATTATCCAGCGAAGGGTTCCCGCTGATCTCCAGCTCCTGCAGCTCAGTCAGATTCTCAAATGCTCGAACGTGGATACTTCGCAAAGCGTTGTTTAAGAAGACTAGCTTGGTGAGCTGGGGGCATCCATCGAGACTGTTCGGGAACAGATATGCTACAGATGATGTCATGACAATAAACTCCTTGACCTGCTTGGACATGTTACTGGGCAGAGATGCCATCCGTTCTTCTGCACACAGAATCTGGCTCGTGGTGAAACAGTGACATGTGTACGGACAGGGAGGCTGTAATTCTGACGTTGCCCTCGGACAGACAGTCAGCACGAGGAGCAGAATCAGGAGCTGCTTTGAGTCCATTCTTGGCTTCTGAAACATTTTAATGAATTAACACGGAGAAACACACCTGAGTATCCTTTGTTAAAACAATAAAAGCAAATCCCATACCTGTGTTTTCAAAGATCAGTTGGTGCTGAATCCAGTCTCTTTGTGCAACTACAGCAAGATGACGCAAAGAGCAAATGACAACAGGCTTGAATTAGGCAAGACTAAACCTTTGGTCGGTGACTGTTGCCCACACTGATTTCATCTGCAGGCAGCAGAGAAGAGTCAAATAAATCCCTGAGTTCAGCTTTTCTATTACATGTCACACTTATTTATTATTAACTTAATAAAAGATAAATAAATGAGTCACATTCTAATGGATGCTAAGGTAGAAAACATTTTGAAACAATATCATTTAAAATAAAATAAAAACAAATTTAACAAAACAAGCTTGAATAGAACATATAGGTCTATCTCTACTTACAGGGACTACCCACTATGCTTTACATTTGAACATTTGCTTCTTTTTTAGGCTCCAGTGACAGAAAAAGAGAGGGCCTTCTTTTTCCTCCATGAAACCAAGACCAGAGATATCAAGGTAATTTATATTTTTCATAAGATATGTTGGTTAGTATAGATAGTTTAATATTTGTAATTATATTTTTGCCTGTTTTTCATTTACTAAGCTAATGTTAGGCTAACATCTCTGCTAACTCCTTTTAGTTACTTCTTACCAAAACCTCAGTTAACTCTTTAATTCGATTGTTGAACCTTCCCTCAGTGAATTGTTATAGTAATTCTGATACTGATTTAAATATCTTTTTAGTCTGTTTTTTAGTTATTCCGCACATTTTTAGATGTTTTTCGACAGACTGTTGGTTGCTATTAGCCTAATGTTGATACTTTTGGCTTTGTCGTTTATTGCTATACTTGTAGCTTTTCTTATTTTCTCTATTTCATTCCCTATTTCTTGTTATAACTTTAAGCAATTTCTTAACGTGATGTGACGTTATATTTTGGTCCATTTGTTTAAAATCCCATTTTTTGCTATTCTTAGGTAACACTTCAGTTAATTGTCTTAATCATTTTCTCATATTTAGCAGTGTTTCTGACAATGTTCGAACGCTTTAACCATATTTTTGCAAGCTTTTAATAATTTGGCTAAGTTTTACTTCCCATAATTAAAAAAAAAAAAAAGAATATCTTGTGGAACCCTAACATTGCGGATCTGCTCTTCTCTGATTTAGGTCCTGCAGTAGACAATTACTGCCACTAGATGGTGCCATTTTCCTTTAAACTACAGAAAGATGTAATGGAATTCCTCGACGTATGCTTGGCTCCAGGTTCTTCCCAGTGGAGGCACAGACGGAAACTATTTTCTGGGACTGGGCCACCACCTTAAACCACCTGGGACTATTTCAGAAGAAGATTTTTTCCCCACTTTCCACTTAAGTGCTTCACCAGTTATAAACTATGGCTAATGCAGGTATACAGCTTCTGGGCTTCACACTGGCCTTTTTGGGCTTTATAGGCTCAATAGCATCCACGGTCATGGTGGAGTGGAAAGCTTCATCCTACGCTGGAGACAACATCATCACAGCTCAGGCCATGTATGAAGGACTGTGGAGGTCCTGTGTGTCACAAAGCACGGGTCAGATCCAGTGTAAAGTCTACGATTCACTTCTGCAGCTGCCAGGTAATCTTGTTTTCAACCAATGTTTTATTTTAGACTAGAACACAGTAGAATTTAGAAAAGTGTGTATAACTGTGTGTATGTTCTAAACAAAAATCTTGAATCTTGAAATACCAGCAAAACAATAAAATGAAAGTGTTGTAGGAGATAATTAAACGTCCTTATTGTGATTTGAAAACGTGACATTTAATTAGGTCTATCTCTATTTTTTTTGTTTATTATTAATTTATTAGGCTTTTCGTTTATGCTACATTATTAATTGTTCAGACAGAAGTTTTGAATGTTATTTTAAATTATAAAAAACATGATCCCTCTGGTCATTCAAACTTTAAAAGCTTTTCTCTTGATGTAAAACCTGACGTGCACAGACATGTCGGTGGAATTCCAGCAGTAACTGAACAGAAGGATAGCCTGACTGTTGGAATCTGGAATTTAATTACGGCCGAAAATCAGAACACATATATAAAAATCAAAGCTGCAATTTGTTTAAAATTTCATATTCAATATTTTTTGAGTTTTAAAAAAGTATTTAAAAATTTCCTAGATAATAAAACATTCCCTAAATATTTCTGTTTACACCCAGTTTTGAATGTGAGTCATTGCTCTACATGACTTCTACGCTCCGGCCTGTTTTGTGCCCACTGAAAACAAAGACACCTAAACTGATCCCCAGTGAAAACAAAGACACCTAAACTGATCCCAGTCATGTTACAAATGTTGTGTCTATGTATTATTCATAATTATTTCAATAATTTCCACAGTTTCCATAACCTTAAACCTTAAAAATCAAACAATCATGTTTTAAACTTTTCTATTCTATTTAATAATGGCTAATAGCTTTCTTTTTTTAAAATTACTATATAAAACACACACAGTGTTTAGTAGGAAAACATTTTGTCTTACATAGTACTTATAATATAATTCTGAGCATATATATATATATATAAACAAAAGGTATGCTACCACAGGTTAGCACACCAGCAAATGTAGCCAATATTTTACAGTGTTTTATTACATGTGAACTGCAAATTCCAAACACCAAAATGATCGTTTTTCGTGATGTTTTTTAGCCCTTGTCCAGGGGACGCGGGGGCTGATGTTGGCCGCCATCATGCTGTCTTTCATTGCAATCATGGTGGACGGGGTAGGCATGAGGTGCACCACCTGCATGGCAGAGCAGCCGGAGCAGAAGGACAAAGTGGCCCTGACTGGAGGAGTTATCTTTATCATTGCAGGTAAAGAGGCACACAAATACACACTTACACACATACGCACGTACACAATACAATCAACAAAAACACTAAATGAGCTCATATGCCTGTAGGTCTCCTTGCTCTTGTCGGAACTTCATGGTACGGCCACAGAATCGCAACGGATTTCTACAACCCTTTTACCCCGACGAACTCCAGGTCAGTTACTTGGTAGAATATATCACTACAACACAATTACTCCATACAGTACATGAAAAATGCCACTGTGAGCATGTGTTTCTTCACAGGTATGAGTTTGGGAGTGCCCTGTATGTGGGCTGGGGTGCTGCCTGCCTCACCATTATTGGAGGGAGTTTCCTCTGCTGCAGCTGCCCAGCTAAAGGTGCAGCCAAATCTCCACGGTACCCTGCCAGTCACTCTTCTGGCACCACAGGCAGAGACTACGTCTAGAAGAACGGCCACGCGGTCTTGGCCTGTTTGCAGCTACTACATATTTCCAACTGTTTGGGTGTTTGGTATTTTTGTGGAAAGCTTGTTTTTTTGACTGCACAACACATTGTTAACCCTTATGATAAAAAACGGCAGAAGCAGCATTAATCTGACTGAATAATAATAATAATAATAGTTTTTCTTGTGAACTTTTATATAAAGGTTAAAAAACATCATCGGCCATTCATTTTTCTTAACACCTCAGGAAGTTTTTGCACTGTACCCACTGTCATTGCAGGCAACATTTACTTTTTAATGTTTAGTATATTTGTATTTCTTTATATGTACAATTAAAAAAAAAGTGTATCCCTCTTTGACTGCATGTTTTTAAATATATATTTAACATTCTTTCTGGTCACAAAATTATAGGTCAGTGTAACTGATAAACTCTATATATTTTCTATTCTTTTTTGCTGATGCATAAATGTATAAAAAAGTTATATTTTTTTATTATAATAGAGTGATAAGTGGATGTTTTAATCCAAAGAACTCCATGTTGTTCTCCATTCCTAGAAAGTATCCGTTAAGGTCCAATGTGCAGAAAATTAGGATTACTGTTGTTAACACAGATATCCTCACTGCAGGGGATCGTAAATAATTTTATTGTTTTTGTACGTGAGTTTAGATCTAATTAAGGTCTTACTAAGTGAGAAGAAAAAAAGTGTGTTAGCAGGTTAATGCTGTGTCCTGTCCATATTATTGTTGAAATCAGTGTGTATCTGCCAGTCACTGCCTGCCTGACATCTGACGTAATGGGATTTCGTATATTTGCAAGTGTGGACAGGCTTGAACAAATGACAGGCCACTGTGGTGGAGCGGGAGATGAGCTCTGCCCCCATCTTAACCCCTCGACCCCACCCACGTGCACTGAAAACAAATGTAATCTTTGTGAAGATACATACAATAGGGACATAAACGAAAATATATTTTAAAAAAATTTAAGTTTAAAACAATCATTAAATGCACCTCAGGTTTCTTGTGTAAATGTGTTGCCTCAGGTGGTAAAATCTTGACACTCCGGAAGGTGGAAGGTAGGGGAGTGGCTCTGACATAAATACCTCAGACCACCAACTGCTGCCCCAACATGTCTGTCGTCTAAACAAGCCAAATATCTTCTATTCGATCTTATACACACCTAACACAGAAGACTTTCAGAAAATGTCCTTAAATCCAATCATATGTAAACACACTCACACACACCAAAATATGTAACTTTGCTTTCTTGCTTTATCTTAATCCTTAAGGCGCAGCTGTTATGGAGAATTTTGTAGGTTATGAGCGCCACCCCGTGGACATCTTTGAACAGTACTTTTGTGCAGCGTTCATTTAGTGGTGCAGAGTGCACAGATATAATATTAAACTGCAGCATTATACAACTATTAAGTAAAATGGTTATTCAGTAAAATGATTAAGTAAATAGATTAAGTTGTCTCACAATTAATTTTTTTATTATTGTCATTTTAAAAAGCAGTTAAATTAGAGGACTTTATTTGTACAAAGACAATTTACAATTTATTACAAAAGTGAAGTTTGTAAAAGCAACTAAATTTATTTATATTTTACTTGTTAAAATTTAAACATTAGCAACTAAACTTATTTATAGATAATAAAGATAAAGATAAAAGTTTATTTCAAGTTGATTGAAATTGATCGATTTTTTCTAAAGGAGGGAGTGTCGTTAAACCATCCGGAACAAAGGGTGGCGCCAATTCACCGGTAAATAAAATAAAAAATACGATAAAGCATAACAAGAAGAAGACCCAATTAAAGACCGCGAATATTGTGGAAAGTCTCCATTTTCTTCTGCAAGAAGTCACCGACGGAATGTCTGAGTTCTAAAAAGTTCTTCAAATGTATATATGCTCCTGTTCAAGTGAGTTAGACGACAGTCCAGTTCAGTTCAGTTTCCAAGTGTAACAATTACAACTGACCGTAAACTTTGTCTATCTACGTATGTGTATTTGTATTACATTATAGGGAGCGTTAGCTGCCACCTGCTAGCGCTAAGCGTCAGTTCCGTAATTGTGTTTCTCTGCTGAGCCCACGGCTCTCAGGCCCGCTACTGACCACGGTGCTACAGCCGATGGAGGGCAGCCGTTAGTCGACTGTGAGTTGATTTCTGTCCCTTGCCATTGTGTTCAGAAGGTGTAATTGGGTTAATGTCTACATCTAGCACCTTTGCTTTGTGGTTTTGTAGTATTTGTAGTTTGTAATTTAAACTATTTTCTGTCACAGGTTCACTGTCGATTTCCATGTCCTACATATTCAAAAGGCTCTGTAAAAGTAAGAACTCACACGTTTGCCTAAATTCACATATAAATTTACTTTCAGATTAATTTACTCTACTATTAATTCATTGTTTGTATCAATGTTGTTTTCCTCCTTCACCATGGAGTGAACATGCAAGGGGTGGTTGAGATGAGAGTGCATCATTGAAGTAGTCTGTGTCTACATGGGCAAAGATCCAGATAACCTTCTAAAGGGAAATGTGGTATGTATACTCTACTTTCATTCTTCTCTTTTAATGGATTCATTTTATGGATGTTTTACTGTGAAAACAGTTGTTTTTGTTTGGCAAAAGTACTGAGTGCCTTTGTTCAGGAAGACTGTGTGATCTGCAAAGTTTTAAGGATCAATACAGTCAGTATTCATTGTGATGACTTTTATTTTTTATATTTGTACATAATACAATGCATGTATGTACACACTATTCGTATTATATTCTTTATTTCAAACGTTTTAGATGGGGACCTACTTATTAAAGAGGACAAGTTGTAGTGACACAGATAATACAAAAAAAAAATTGACCCAAATTAAAAAATCACAACAATGTTGTACCAAAATGACTAGGGTCCATTAATTGTAATTATGTCACTCCACAATTTGTCCTGATTTAGTTTTTATCCTAATAATTTTAGATAGCATGCATATATCTAGCAGAACTCGGTCAGTTTTGGGTAGTAATGACAAAAACCTTCACTTAAAAATATAAGTGTGTTGTATCACAAACACAATCAAGCAGTCGAACGGACAGAAGAAGTTTAAGGAGCACTGTGGTGTAATGTAAGCAAATGAATGTGGTTCAAATTTATTTTAAACACAATAAATGATAGATTTGTGCAAAATGTTATAAAACCACTAGAGGGCGACAAAGACAATGCTTTGAAAACCCCTTCTTTGCCCCAACGAGAAACATTTCGTTTAAAATGTTTTTAAAAGTTTTTTTCAAAACGCAATTAATTTACTATAAACTCATAACGAGTGTTAGACGTTTCGACTTTTAAAAACACACAGAATACGAGCCGAATAAATTATTTTGTTCCTCACATTAACTGCATTATTGCAAAAAGTTGCAACCGGGGTTTATGACCAAGTCACACCCCTTTATTGTTAAACGGGGCGGTGAGAGTGTTTTTCCTCTTCTTTATGATGCAAAGCTGTTGTCAGTTTTTGTTCTTCGTTGGGAAACAGAATATAATGAAACATTGATAGTCATAGGGGATGGCGCCACAGATGAGTCTCAAATATTTTATTATTTAAGGAACATCTACGAATATTTCTTGCAGTCTCTACTGCAATCTCATTTGACCTTTGTTTAAACCTTTCTGAAATATGCTATAGACATTCATGTAAATAATGTATTATGTTAAACTATTATAATTAGGCGTGTTACAAAAACATCCTTTATGTGCTTTTGCCTATTTAAAAACTAAGCAGAACCTTTTTATCCAGTTTCTAATTCTGCCCAATGTGGAGTTTTTCTCTCTCTCTTTTTTCTCATTTGCAGACTATGACTATTGCTTTGACACTCTGAAGTACGTCGTTATGTTACAATACAATCCTCAGAGTGAACACTCTAACATGAGATAGGTGAATGCGTTCAGATCTACAGAACAGATATACAGGTCAAAGGAGATTTTTTTCAAACCATGTTAAACAGTTTCTGACAACATGTGCACAGAGTTAAGCACAGAGTTAATCCAATTCACCTTTCACACAAGTTATTGTCTTAGGGCTCTAAGCACAGGCTTATATGTAACTAAGCTAATATCCTTAATCTATTTTGACGATTTGATGACCCTTATTTAAAATATCACATGCACAGCTTACTTAGACACAGTACACAGTAAGTTTTGTATATGACAGTGTACTAGAACGTAGCATTTTGCATATGAAGTGAACGTTACAGCACTTGGAGCAGATCCAGACCTGAAGTGGATCAAAACAGACACATTCACAGAAGGATTTGTTTGTCCTTCACTATTATTTACGGTGAAAACTTATTTCCCAGTGCTGTAGTTAATACAGTGCTACTTTAGATGTAAGAAGAATTTGAATCAGGAGGTTGTGTCAGGATTGTATAGTTTAATTATGTGGGGATTGGGGAGGGGGGTCTCGAAGTGCAACCTAAGTGCAGTCTCTGCCAGTTCAAACTTCGGCCTAACGTTTCTTTAGCATTGCTTACTGTATTCAGGTCTTATCGTTGTGAAGTATTTATTCGATCTTTCTGAGAGAAGTGTGGTTTTTTTTAGAAAAAAACAATCCAGCCCTGGAATGTCGCTGGGCAACATGAGATAAAAACACGCCGCAAAGTTGAGTAAAACAGAAAGGTGTGTGAAGCTACGGTAACAGGCTTTATGTTCATTGTGTACACTCGTATAAACACTATTTGACGTGTTCTATCTTCAGGAGATTTAATGTGATGCTGACACTTTACTTTGTTTAGTATACAGACAAAATACAGCTTCATTCTTTCTATCTTTGAGAAACAGCCCCAACCACTGGGTTTCTACCTGATATATCTTCCACAAGCTTCCATATCAGAGGCTTTATTTCCCACATATTCGTGTCAACTGCGGGAGTTATTTGCCAGCAGTTATAACAGGAATTTCCCCAAAGTGTTATAAATCTCTCTCCTCAGCTGAGCTCAGAGGACACAGAGTTCAAAACAAAGATGGTGTCCATCTCCACTGGCTGTGAGAGAAACGGCTTTAATCATGTTTAGGGTGATGTTTTCGTGACGATGTCTGATTTTATAAGTCATACATCTAACGTGTAGAACTTCTGCTGCTGTTGCCTGTGGGTGTTAAGATGTGGTTTTATTAGAATAGGAAAAAAAAATTCTTTCGTGAGTGAACATGCTGTGCAGTAAAAGTTATGCGTGGAAAATCAAATAATAAGATGCTTATGAGCTGAAGCCCAGTGGTGTTATCCAGTGGTGTACTACATTATGTAACTGGTCTGGATTCAGCTTGGGTTTTAAACTCGATGTCAATGATCTGTCTCTACCTGTCTATGGAACCTAGGCATAGGGAGGAATGGAGTTAGCTATATTTATTTTTATTAAGGATCTCAGGAGAGCAGGTTTTGTATGTCTATATATTCATTGTTACGTTTTTATACTATACAGTACCTTGCATACTCTAGATACTTTGTTACATACAAACAGAGATTGTGTTTTCTGGTTCATCTCCTTAGTCCAGGAGCTTATTATTGGGCTATTACTTTCATCTGCAGGAAAATCCACAAATGTTTTAAAAAAAAATACAGGCTGTAAGATAGACGTTCTGCTCAACTTTGCAGTGTTATTTTATTTTTGTAACCAAAAATAAAAAACCTTTCTTTGCTCTGAGCAGAGACTGTTTTAATAAAGACCTGCTCCACTGGTTTAAAAAGTGGCACAATTACACATAAAATAAAGTAGTATTGTTTATTGTATAATAACAATAATAAAAAATCCTGATTAAGTAGTGTTTTTCTGGCAATTGTTTGGTCGTAACGGAGGAATTCTTCTTTAGAATATGAGGTCAGTTCTGGAAATAATATCGCATGTGGACGGGGAGGGTGAGAGAAAAGTGGGAGGTTGAAGATAACTCTTGACCATGTGTGATGTTATTTTCCATTTAGCATTCTCATATACTGAACATATATGTTCTCTATTGAAAAAGACAAACTATGTCTTTGTATTGAGAGGGAGAGAGATGTGAAAAAAACTAAAACAAAATGTAAGGATTCACCCATCACTCTCATTATTACCCTGCTCTGTGCTCATAAGGGCAAACGAACATCTGTACATCAAAGAGTTTGTGTCTAAGGCGCTGTTTACCCGAGTCTTAGAAAATCCCTTCTAATCTTTTGCATGAAGAAAACCACAAATGATCAAGTCTTAAAGGTTCGCTGTGTAGGATGTCGGTGAATTTGTCTATTTTTTTTTTCATCCGTCTGTCTGTCTGTCTGTCTTTTTTGCATGACATCAGCACCTCATGTGACAACCGCACCGCTATCTTCTGCTCTAAAGGAAATGGTGTTGGTGGTTTCTAAGTAAAATCCATGTGGTCAAGAAGAGGAGACTGTTTTCAGAGCTGCGCAAGTTACAGCCTTTCCATTCTCACCTTAAACTCTTAGATAATCTGCTTTCTTCACGCAGACCTCTGCCCTTTAACCTTCCCCCGTCGTACATTTATATCTCTGCTACTCTTCACCTGCTCCACATTTAGAATCACATACATCACCCCCAAAAGATGGGACCTTGTTAAATTACTAAAGAGCAAAAAGGTATTCTTGCTAAGTCTAACATTAAAGTATCGTATTTGAGGCAGGTCAGTCAAGCATCCACTCAATCAGTATGCATAAAAACACACCTTTTTAATGATTAAGTTTAATATTATAAATTTAAATCTAACATAACCCTTAAGATGAAACCTGTTTTTTATATATATATATATATATATATATATATATATATATATAAATGCTTTATTCATTGCGGTATTTGTAGCACTGAGTGTGATGCTCTTTGTAATGTAATCCAACATGGTGGTTCAGACATATGGGAAACAGAAAGAATACAACCATTAACACACTTCAGGTCATATGTTCTTTAAAGCTTGACTAATAGGATTAGCTGATCTTGAGCCGACCAGACAGAGTTGTGTGCAGCCATGTTTAGTCACATGGATGTCACATACAGTAGATGTCCTGGAGCCTTATGTTTTTGAGCTGATTAGGATGAATGTGTTTGTGTGTGTCATTGATTCAATTTTCCCTTATAGGACTGCAGCTTGTGACTCGAACCAATCTCTAACTTTGTTATTTATTAGAATAGATTTCACTGCATTTTACACATTTGGTTGATAATAGTTTCAGCCGTGCTTCCAACTCTGACAAGTGTTGTTTTTGGTGCTGCAGAAGACCATGTGAGTGTTGAGTGCAGTGGTGCTTGGTAGCAATAATATTTGGATGCAGTAACACTATTAACAATTACTCTTGTTATTGTTGTTGCTATTTGTTTAATTTTTTATATCTAACACTACTTCAATTATAGTGTTTTGTACGTCTGGGCTCTCTTCTTTCTCCTACCACATTAGCAAATATCAGCAAATACTTCCTGTCATTAGTTTAATTTGAAATCAAATGTTGACCATATATACATTTTTGCCTTTTTTTCCAATGTAGGTTTTTTGTGGGCATAGTTTTTGACTGAAAAGGCCATTTTATATAATATATTTCACACCTTTGGTATTCTGACTGTTTATACTTTGTGCTTCTCAAGGCCGTTCTGTTAGATCTTGTATACATGGGTTTTTGTGTCACCTTTATTGAAGTCTCTTTCAATACAGCGTATCACAGAAACCCAGAATCTGCTCATTTTTTACAGACGTCTGCACATTTATATCACATTTACAACATGTGGAAAGCTGCTTTAAAACGGCCAGCGTTCACTACTTTGTCCTCAAACAACTCTTCAGATGATCCTTTAAGCCCAGCCCTCCACATGGTGGACACATGTGTTTCTGATTGTGAGACATGCAATGCCAGAAATAAATCACAATTTTGTCAGATCTCAGTAGTAATCTTTTTTAAAAATGATTTTCCCCTCTTTTGAAGAAGGTTGTAAGAGAGTTTTTATTTTAAATCCAACACCCACAAATAACTGTATTTTTGTCTTTTGTTTTACTTCAAGACTGGAAGACTTTTTTTTTTTTTAAGCCAAGTTCCACCACCCTGCAAAAACATCTTTACATCCCATAACATTTTTTTTTCAACATCCAGTCTGTATGATATCAGTTTGAACCTCTCCCGCCACTGATTTTTTTTAAGTTTGAGCCTTAAACAAATTCAGTGACCTCTCCACGTGGCCCACACATGGTTCAGATCACGAGACTTTGAGAAGCCAGGAATAAATCTGTGTCCCAGACACTTTCTGGCTTCACCATGTTCTCCATACTAGAGGAGCAGCTGGTCTGCATCATGAACTGAAAACATTAATATTTGGGATATTTTGTGTTCTTCTCTGTTATGGGAATATTTGTTAAATTTCAGTGTACGTTTCTGTTGTGATTGGATCTTTTTGAACTTGAATGGGTTTGACTAAATTCCATTACATCCTCTCTTACATTTACTTTACACCTAACATCTTTCACTGTTAGCAACGACAGACTGAACCTTCTAGATAATGTTCAATTACAACAAGGTAATTTCACTATAATAAGAGTGGAGGATACTGCCAGAAAGATAATTAATATAATTTCAGAAATAAATCAGCTGCATTGTGTTTCATTATATAAACCTTTGCTGTGTTCATGTAATATTGTTATTATTTCTTTAAAAATAGAAATATAGGAATAATAGGTGTAGAGTATGTTATTGTTACTTGTCTTTGTATTTCCATCATGGTTTCCTGTATTATTGTTGATAATTGCTGGCTCGTCACTGCTGCTAGCAGAGGTATATATATGAATAACTGCACTTAAAAAATCCAACCAGGAACGAAGACTGACCATGACTGTTACCTTGGTAACAATTTTACTCATAAGGCATGCCGCATGAAATTGCCATGGCAAACATTATATAAATTCATACCCTGATTAAATGCAACTGCAGTGCTGGGAATGGAGCGTCTTTAACAGAAAGATCGTGAACATCATAGATCCAGAGACTAGGTCAAAGACCTTACTGGGCATCAGATAGCTGACCAGCAGAGACTCCTCGACTTAATCCATCCCACCCCACAGAGGTGTGCTGGCAGTCGGTCCAGCTGCTTCTATGGAGCCAGTGGAGCTAGAACATTAGGAGGAACTTGTGCTCAGTAGCAGTCGATAAGGCAATCGATGCAACAAGTTGCACGGTTATTGTTACGATTTAAGGCTTAATTTAAAAAAAAAAAGCAAGATAGTCTTTAGAGATTAACCGTATAATCAGTTAGTACTGGTTTGAATTAGTTTTTCAGAGAACACACGGTGCTTTGTTCATCAGCAGAATTTTAACCTCTCTTTTAACATTTTCCGACTTGGTGTCCTCCCTGTGGTTTAGGTTGAGCTCACACCTACACACTGCATGTCGCCCATATCCCACAGAGCCGTGCCACATATATAACACATGCCTTCCAGTTGATTGCATATTATTGAGACGGAACATAAAGATATTTTGGTCTATCTATCTATCCATCGATCTCTTTCTTCCCTTCTCTCAAACAAAGGTTGTTAACTTCCACACTGTGGAGCACCCAGAGTTGTCACTCTGAAAGTATGGTCAGTGTCAAGTCCTGCAAGATGGTTTTACACATGATGTTCTGTTTGTTTTTCATTGGCAGCTCTAACGTTTGGCCCACGTCATCGCGGAGCCTCCCTTCTCAGTGAATTGATTCCTTGAGAGGTAAGAGTGAACGTTGCTTGTATAATCTGATATTATTTGACATATATAAGCAAAATGTACTTTAGTCTTTGAGTGTTATTTTTCCAAAAGAAGAATGACTTTAAATGTATTTTGTTGCTGCATAGAGTTGCTATGGCTATACTGCATGTCCTTTATGAAGGGGGGAAAAAAAAACCTTTTAGGGAGGTTTGGAGTCAACACTAGGTGGCCTTGTAGACAACCTGCACTGACCAGGCTGTCTGGGTAGAACATTGGTTGTCTTGCTTATGATTTAATGTTATCAAGTTATAATGCTTTTAATTTCTATATTCAGTTTCACTATATCATGAAATGAATACCAAAAAAGCTGACAGGAAATATTGCATAAGGGATTTTTTTTTTATAACCAAATTATACAATCGAGAGTCTTTAAGGAAAGTCATATTTCCTCTTTTTCAGTATCACTCTGTTCTCAGACACCTCTGACTCATTTTAACCTTGTCTTTCTCTCGCGCCCAGCCCTGAGCATGAAGAGTGAAATCACAAGCAACAGTGAAATAACTGCTGTGTAGTGACACACCTCTGTGATAACTTTTGAAAGGACACTGCTGGGTTCAAGCCCAATGTAATCCAAGTGTATGTTCATATTCCACAGGTCTTACATGTGATGGTTCCATTCTCTCCTGTGCCCCGTCTGAGGAATGTTATCTCTCAATCCACCCAGATCTCCCGTGGCTGACTGTGAACTGTGCATGACCTGTTTGACCCAGATGAGGATCGCCAACTCTGTCAGGTCTCAAAGGACAGGGGTATGAAAAAGTGTCCACAGAAGTTAAGACCCGAGCTGTATGATAACATAGTTAAAATAGTTATGCAAATTTGAGTCAAAAGTCAAAAGAATGGGATTCAGTTCCACCAGATGAATTTAGAAAACACACAAATAAATGTTATGCGTTGTAAAAAGCTGGTAATCGAAATGCAACAATTTGGATTGATCTTAAAGATGAAAAATGGTTGTGAAGTATGTTTCTCAGCCCAAGAAATAGGCAAAAGAGCATTCTGATGGTACACGGTGCAACATCATTAGTGATGTCACTGGGTTGCATCAGTGAGCAACATGTGACATAAAGACTGATGTGGAGGTTTACGCAGTAAGAGCAGAGAGACAAATGCTTTCATCAGCATTGTCTGTTACAGGAATATCTTTGACATTTTTCAGCAAGACAATACATAGTCCGTAAAGTTGTAGACATGGCAGACATCGGCTGTTCCTGCTTGATTGACCTTTCATTTGACCCCTAATAGAAAGTAACCCGGCATTAATTGTAATCTATTAGTTTCCAAAACAAATTACAACATATACCTAAAAGAAAAAGAGGGGAAAAGTCTTATCCTTGTACCTGATAAGTAATGGTTCAAGTGCACATGGGGTTGTATTTACGGTAAGCAGAAATGGAAATTTCCAGCTCCACTTTACTTAACGCTGTGACCGCCCAGCACCTGTGTGAATACCTGTGGTGTTTCGCACCGATGTTATCACGTTTCAGCCTCCTCACCCCATTCACCCGTGTTACCTCACTTGCAAGCAAAGTGATCCAGGCAACAGCCACTGGCTGCTCCTGGGTCCTGTCACCTGCAGGTGTCAAATGCAGGCCGGAGACAGGGACAGCGCCTCCTACCATATGGCTGGTTCCCAAATAACCCTGTAGATTTGTCAGCCGGCTGCCCCTTCACCCATCTCCCTGCCGCTCCTGCGAAGAGCAGTTGTTTACCTCTCTCTCAGGTTACACTTGTGGTTGTGCTTCTGCAGTCTTGTGAAACCGAAGAGATGACCTAGAATTCTACACTCTGACCCCATGTACGAAAAGCTGCACTCACACGATTGGTTCATTTCTACTTTTACCCTGCCTAGATTTCAGTGTAAATTGTTAAATTGTGATATATATTTTTTTATTATTATTAGTGATAGCAGCAGAAGTAGGAGAGTTTGTTTTGATGTCAGTATAAGCATTTCTTTGATGATTCATGCTGGTTTAAAATGATTGTAAGAGGAAATATGCTTAAAAAAAAAAAAGAAGTCTTGCTCAGATGACAAATTATAACACCATGCTCTGTCATAATACTCCACCATCAAATACTCAAGGGCACAACACGTGCTTCATGTCGCACACAGTATCAAATTTCAGATGACACTCCTTGAACTGGATTTACCACCCCGACGTAGAGGCCGACCTTGAATGGTGGGAATGTGAGTCGCAGTTGACTTAAGGTAAACACAGCAGAGGGTCATTGCAGTTAAATAAAAGTCTGCTTTTCCGCCCCAGAGATAACATAAGAATCACTAAGTGTCTCGATTCGAAGCATCAGAAGTCACTGCCAGTCAGCAGTGACGCACGTTTGCAGTGGATCAAGTCTTAGCATAAACAACTGCTACTGGTGCAGAAGCTGAATGCCAATGCCAGATATTTTAAAGTGACGTGCAAAAAATGTAACATTCTCATGTTTCCATTTATAAATTGTCTGAAATGTGAATTTTCAGATTCTTCTAATACTACTGCACTGCTTACACCTTTTGACACGGACGTATGTTGCTCCTCCGGAACCTGCACTGAATCATGGCAGGTTAAAGATAAAAATGTAAAAAAGGTATTTAAAAACCGATTGATTGTAAAACGAGGCTGCTTTCATGAAAACATTTTTTTCAGGCAGAAAACTAGTCCATCTGCAAAGTCGCACTAAATCTTTTTTTTTTTTTTTTTTTTTTTTTAATTATGGAATTCAGTGTGACACAAATTTGGCCCATTGGAATGCACTCAAATGCTGTGTTCCCATCTACAGTTGTGTCCACAACACACGTCTGTCAGATCTTGTCATGATGGTTTTCATTAGATGAAAATCTGTGCTTAAGGTTGAGCACGGACAAACATGTGGCATGAACATGCATGGAATGCCTTACTTCTGGTTAGCAGCAGCAGCAGCAGCAGGGGCTGGACCCTCCTGGAAAAAAAAATTGAACTTTACTCTCTGATTTAGTTTATCTTCCCAGACAAAGTTCTTTAATTATAATTTGTAAGGCCTAATTAAGATTTAAAATCTGAAGTAGGTACACGATTCCCTGTTGTATGTTTACATTACATCACATGACACCTAATTCTGTTGCAAAGTGTAATTTTAGTCTGTTTCACACATTTGAGTCTGGTTTAAAAGCTCACATGTGCTATTGATTTTGTATTTATTAACTAATACTTGTGTGGAAACATCACAAATGTTTTTCTCTCCTTTTTAGCCCATGCCTGAAACAAGAGAAGTGGTTGACACCTTGATGCGCCTCTGGAGCTGTGGTCCAACAACAACAGGTTTATTATCAACATGTACGGACAACTTTCCCTATATATATATATATATATATCTCCTTTTTTCATCATATTTCAATATTTAATTCACCACTTTATTTCCTATGCTGTACATCCTCATTGCGACCCCCCCGTCCCCACACACACACATTAAACCTCAGAACCTTCCTCCAGTCAGTCTCCTGTAGACACCGGTGCTGTCTTTGAACCATACTTCAAAGCAGGTCTCACTACACTCCAGTTAAGCGCCTCTCACTCTTTTTTACTCCACCCTGCCTGCACTGAATAAGTAGAAATATTCCTTTTGGATTAATCATTGCATAGAAGCTACTACACACCTCAGCACCTGGCTGCAGTTGCACAAACCAGGGTGTGGTTGAGTTGCAGTCAGGAACAGCAAGAATTGGCAACGAGCAAAAACACCTCAACAGTGCCTCATGATGAAAGCGTATCTTTATATTATACTAATCCTTTAATGTCCAGGACTTTGTTAATAAGTAACTACTTTAAGGATCTCACCAAACTAATCCTTGTGTTTGTTGAAAAAACACGATGTGCCAGAGTGTTAAAGGGATTACGGTAAAGCCAGTGTTGTTGCTCTTCTTCTTGTCAACTGTGACACTTTCAGTATCTTTTACATTAGCATTACATTAACACTTGTTAACTACGTAAGCAGCATTTGACGCGTCACTGCATTTCCGCTCCTCAGCAACAGTCTTGCTGGTTTTATTAGGACTAAATTCTTTTAAATGTCAAACAAGTACAAACAGTCTCACTCCATAAGTGTCGAAACAGATCAGTCACATTTTAGTAGATTTTTTTTTTTTAGTCTCTTCCCAGGATTGAGCTAACTTGCTAACGGGAAAATTAGATTTGCTACTGCCCTTTGTATTGATAATAATAATTCATTTAAAAAGTGCTATCTCCTGGATCCCACTGCAATTTAAACAGACAATTTAAGACATACTTAAAAAGGGTGTACTGGCCACTTGTTTACACTAAATAATGGGTGTGCATGCATCTTAGACAGTGCATAGTACAGTGCCAATATTTTTGCGCACACGGGAGAAGGAAACGACTAAACAAACAGGTTTCTTGACAGAGAGGCACAACACGACGTTGTTGAGAAAATACAACGGTGGTAGAAAAGCAGCATGTAGAAACACATACTTCAGAAATGGGCAAACCTAAAATGTGATGCACTTGATGCATCATGTTATTTTGAAAGTGGCAGCTTCTATGTGTTTTTGACATTATCTAGAGTCTAATGGTTGCCAGAGCAGTTGGTTGCTTGGGCATATACCAGAAGCTAATTATTGCTTGACCTGTAATAGTAATTGTGTCATTGTCATAGTGTACACAGGCCCCTACACACTCCTGTTAAATAGGTGGCAGTGCTGCGGTGGTAGATCCTCTCGTCTGCCACCAGATGGCTTTAGGTTTGATACCACCTCGTCACAGATCCCAGGTTGGCCTGCATCAGGACAGGCATCTGGTGTAAGAACTCTGCCAAATCATTATGCAGACTACTGCTGTAGTTACTGTTGTCAGTGATAAACAGATTATTAATACTGATAAACTGAGTTTCTCGATAAAACACAGAGCGTGGTTTGGTTTGTTTGGGTTGCAGAAATACCGAGAGCCCATTAATTGCTCATCCAGCAGGAACTCAACTGTAAAAAATATATCCCAGCATATTGTTTGCATCTGCTGAACAGATGGGGCGACACGTGTCCAAACATAGTTTGACTCGCACAAGATATTAATTACAGAGCAGGAGAACTAAAAGGGTTTCCTCACTCTAGGTCTAATATTTATCATTCTTACAGCATATTTTATATAGTTAAATCGAACATTAAGTAATTTTTGGGCAACATATATTCTATGTTACATGTATTGGTCCTGTGTAAGTAGACAACAACAACAACAACATTCTTTCACTGTTATTTATATTACCAGCACGATCAGCCTTTTTTTAAATGCTTTTTACAGCTTTATTTTTGCAGGAGTAAATTTACTACTCTCTCCTACCGTTCTCACTGCGCTCTCTTCAAAACACACATGCACACAGACTCATGTTATGCCAACCCCATCCTTCTCCCTGAGGCCTTGCTGTAAAACAACAGTGGAATCTGCCATGGTGACATACTGCACTCTGGTACTTTTCCACAGATAATATGCTGAAAGGTTGAGTGTTGCGTCGTGTTTGTTTATATTGACACTGGGCATTTAGTGCCTCACATTCCACACTGTCAAGTGGACAATGTACAATTGCCTCAGTAAACACACCTTCTTTTTTTTTTTACTCCACAAATTGGCCGCAGATCAACTTTAAACCTATTGGAAACACAGTGATTATCTTTTTCACAGTCACAATAAACACAAGATTAGTCAAAACAGGTGAAACAACCAAGGCACAAACTGATAAAACTTCACCTGCTTTTGTCAAACATGCCGTCCGTCTGTATTTACACAGTAAATATTGGAAAATATTTTATTTGTTTTTTTACGCCGAGGTGTACCTTGTCCTGACTAGCTGCCAGGCTGTGATGCATTGCCTTCCACATGACTAAATGCACAGTGTGATCCTCAGAGTTGACCTTTTGTGTGCATGTACAATCCATTTAGCCACTAACAACGCTTGATGCATTCTTTGGTGTGGGGCAATAAAGCCTACATTCATCCCTCAGTCCCCTCATTTAAATGCTTTTGAACAGGGTCAGACCACAACGACAGCATCGGTTGCTGTTCATGAATGATCTGAAAATGAGGAGATGATCCACAAAACATGATTTATGTGGGCCTCAGACCAAATCGTCATGCCTTTGAAAACACTTGGATTGTGGAAATCAAGTGATCTCAGTGAACATTTTATTGTACAGTGATGTTTTTTTAACCTTATTTCCTCGGTTCCTTTGAGCAGGCTTGAGACGGGTTCGAACAGGAAAGTTAAATACCTCTGTGCACCTCAATGTTGCGGTGTTATGAAATACTACTAAGTAACTTTGCATCATGCTTTCTTCATTTTAGAGTATGTGCATTGTAGGGCTGCTCTAAGCCTTTTAGGTCAGTGGTTGTGGAAAAAAACATGTTACCCTAAAATATGCTTCATGGTATTTTTTTCTTCTCTCCAAATTCAAGTGCATTCTCCTGCTTCAAAGGAAATGAACGGCCCACCCCTCTACCACCCACCCCTTCCCCAGACCCTGTCTCTGTGAGTACTGAACTAGTTTTGGAGTCATATTTTACTGATGTGAACTTTGAACCCTGTCAAGCAACCATGTGCCTGGGTCATGTTTTGGGACAGGCACGCTGATATCCGTTCGTGTCTAGGCCCCCGGTTTGTTTGGTTCATGGAGGAATGCCTGTTAACATAGTGCAGCCTACAAATATTTAAGCCTGTGTTTTTGAGGTGAGCTGTAGTTTCAAACTTCACTTTCATTTTTCTTTTAAAAGGACATATCTTTGTCTGTTCGTCTAATCATTTATCATCACAGTATGCTAGCTCCTAAATCATAAATGACAACAAACATGTCTTTAAAAAAAAAAGACATCAAAAGAATTGCTAATCCTATCATTTTATTTGTCTAAGTATCTGCAAAATAATTCATTTTTGCTCAAGCTCCCCTGAGCTTGCACTGTCAACCTGAAACTGAGGATGAGACACAGGAAAAGGCTGTCTGATCACATCTTTGCATCTTCATGCATGGGTATAAACATCTAAACTTAAGAGAGGCAGATGAGGGTTTTTTTCTCTTTTTTTTCATTTCCTGTAGACGGAACATGTTTCTTTTATTTCCATTCAGACAACCTAATGTTGCTTTTGTCTAAGTGTGGGAAAACAACAACCCACACAAACTTGGGCCACTAAAGAAAACCGCAGGGGAAAAACATGTAGGGTGGAAACAGAAATAGACATGTTGTCATAGACACCTGTACAGCTGTAATTAGACTTGTTGAGCAGCACTGCATCTTTCCTTTATTAAGAAGAATTCAGTGTGAAACATTACAGGGGGGAAAATTGACTGATACACAGTGGTGGGAGGAAGGCTGGTAAACTGAGCAGTAATTGTTTATAATTGTGACTCATGGGTCAATATCACCTTTCATCAATGTTTAAAAAAAATCATTACTCGGTGTATTTCATTTGGTAATTAGGAAGATACTACAAATGAAGTTTGGGTGATGTCATAATGCTGCAGTGTTGTGCTGTGAGAGGAGACAGAGAAACAGACTGATGCAGGATATTTCATTGTTGATTTTTATTTAACCAGTAAACAGTTTGAAACGGGTATCAATATTTTCCATTCAAACAGAATTGCAGTGAAAAATGTAGGCGATGTAAAGAGATGCTAAATAAGAGGTTATAGGGATACGAAAGTTCTCAAATTATCAAGACAGGAATATATTTTGAAGTAACACTGTCCTAGTTTAGTTTCCTCGGTGGTTTCCTACAGTTGTTCTCTCTAGCTGAATGAATGGTGCATCTTGTCATCTCTGCGTCTCACATATCGGCCCTATAGAACTTATACAAATTGTAGGACATTTTGCAGAATAACACACATTCAGATGTTATCAAAAACACCCTTAATGACACACTGTAGAAGAAGGCCAGGTGTGAAGCATTTAGGTAACATGCTACTTGAGGAACGTTCATCCTCGTGCACAGGCCGAGGGAGGAACACGCCACTTCACATAAAGGAAGGACAAACGTAGACTACACAACGAAGGGATTCTGCTTTGTGTTGTGAGCAAACGTACACATCAGCTCTCCTTTTAATCTCTAAGAACACACAGTCAAACGGCTAACTGTCTGTACTTAACTGTTTATTTGTCATCCTATCTATCTATCTATCCGTCGGACTATTTGTCAGACAGACCATGTGCTTCTTTAGACCTTGGGCTGTATAAAAGATAGACATTGGGCTTTGTTTGCCGTGCTCTTTCTAAAGAGTTACTTGGAATAATACACGGCTTTCAAAATGTGAGTGAGTACAGGTAAGAAAAAGAGAGTGAGAGTTAGAGAGCCGAGAACTAAGACACACTCACTCACATTACTTTCAATTCCCTAAATGTGATTTGGAAAAAAGAAAACCAATTTGTCCATGTGTGTGCATTTGAGTTGCAATCCCAAAATCTTTGCAGCATACCCCAATTTTCTTCAAATGTTCTCAGCACTTGTCATTTTTGCACTTTGTTGTTGTTTTGTTATTAATGTCTAGCACAGATAACTTCATTAGAAAACAGTGCTCTTGATGGCAGGTAAAATCTACAGAGAGGGACAGCAACTGAACAACCAGCTATAGAAAGTGTTAAAAAATGATTAAGCACCCCGTTCAACTCTCGGTTTCTGAATACACATGATGCCTTCAGGCAACTGCCGTCATGGGCTTGTATGTTGAACAAATGTATTGACCTAAAATGATTGCTCATCATGGCAACGGTGAATTTATATGTCGAACTTGTTAATCTGGGTAGTGATGTACATCCAGTGCATTAAATGAAACAAGTCATTCACACAATGATGAATTGGTGTAAAAAGCCAATTCAAAAAACTTAATGTGACAAAACTCAGATATGTGTCAGCCTGTTCTATAACACTGTTACACACACATATATATATATGCATATGTACCTGGGAGGAGCTAATGTAGAATACATTTACAATTAAAAATATGTACATTTTTAAAATTACAATCTATACTGAATTCCAAATCAAATTTTTCACTAGTATCAACATTTTATATTCCTCATAGTTCCTCATTCTTCTGACTTTACTTAACAAAATCCTGAAACAAAAATGTACAATTGCCCTTTTTTCCCCAAAAATTACTATTATTTCCCATTTTGAACATCTGAAATATTATCTACATTACTTAAATTCGTCCTTCCATGAAAGAAAAAAAAGGTTTAAATAAACAAGAGAGAGAAAGAAAAGTCAAATAAAGTCAATATTATGGTCTTTTTAAAATTGTAGAAACTTTTATTTATTAAAAAGTATGGCTGTAAATTTAAAATGTAGAAAAACGTAAACAAATAACGTTTATTCGGATCTATTCCACTCGGTTTTGCATCAACCATTTAACCGTATTAAGCTCCGCGATAACAAAACTACTGAACTTGTGGAGAATAGGGGGCAAGAAAAACACATTCGGAAATGTTTAAATCATTTTAAATATAAGAAAACAAGCGTTTCTTTCAAATCTCACCGACACCTCAGGCTGGTTTACAGAGACGACATGTTCTCAAGTTCCTCACCATATTTATAACTCGGTCAGCTGACCTTGCATTTGGAACCGTCAACTACTCAGGGGACTGTAACTCGCAACAACAAACTCAAAACGGTCAATAAAAGCACAAACAGAACCAAATAGAATCATATATTTATGTCTCAAAGTAGTTATTGTGTAAATGTTTATTTTATTTTGAAAAATTATCCGCGTGAAGTTGAAAAAAGAAACAAACAGCAGCGGCTGACTCCCCCAGCCTGGTAACAGTGGTACAGCCTTCTGTTAAGATTCCGAGAATTAAGCTGCAGTGTTTCTTAGAACTGGATTCTCAGAACTGGATATGCTCAGAGTTTCGAGGAATCATTTACAAGGTGACATTTTTTTTCTTCCTTCCCTCTTTCTCAGTATTAGAACAGGGAGAGCAGGGGAGAAACACACGCTCCTTTGGCGGTGCATCCAGCACTGAATATATGTATTTTATCAGATATTTTTAACTGTTCATTAGCTAAGTGAGAAAACAAAGTTTCAAAACGCTACTTTATTACTTTGGTTTATGTCAAAGACGGAAGTGAGACTTGGGTTTTGTTCAGTTATGTCACTTAGACCTTGTGAGGATTTTTAGAAGTAGGCTGAAAACAGCGACATTGACCTTTGTCTCAAAAACAATGGAGTGAGTTATTACTTAGAACTTAACAGAGGCAAATAATGTGGCGCAACAGGACCGGTCGGTCTGGTTCGGAGACATTTACTCTGTGCTTTAACTTGGCGTCGACGACTTATTTCCCGTCAGTTAACGACTTAAAATCGCACGCGAAAACTAAACTAACTGTTACCACATAAACATCTTCCGTGTTTTTTTTTTTGTGTTTTGTTTTTTAACAAACCGAAGTTTGTCCGTGTTGTTTTAGACTTCAACATACTTGTACTGGCCTGCCCTTTGGCTCATAACCCGAACTTACGTATTAACTAAATAAATCACTCCCCGAATCCAAACCACCTTTAAGTCAAATATCGGAAGTTTAGAAACGAATTGTGGAGTTGGTTTAGCAGGGAGAGGTCACGTGATTGTACGTTGATGATTTTAAACGAGTAATTGATTTATATTAACGGGGGCTGCAACACTCGCTGTGTACTGGCAACCTAATCTGAGCAGGCAGGACGGAATGTGCTGAACGTCAAACACGTTACAAGTACAGACTGCGTGTTGGCACCTCCTGGTTTGATCTGGAAAAACGATTGTAGATCAAAGTGTTGAATGTTAGAAAGAAAAACTTTAAGGAAAAAAAATAAGTAAATCAGACCATGTTCATGTTTACTGTCAGGTACATACATGTACATGTAGGTATTTGTTATTATCTCGAAATGATCATTTCAGTAATTAAACGATATACCAACTGAAACCATACACTTTCCGTGTATCAATCTCTTGTGTAAAGGTTAAAACAGATTATGTAATCAGTCGTTTAATAAGGCCCAATAAGAATCGAGGGGCGGCTGTTGTGATTTTAGTCAAACCAAGATTTTTGTTTCGAGGACCAATGGCGCCGTCTTGTGGCAAAAACTGTAAAGACAGGATCAGGTACTTTTTGTTATTAACCCTGAAAGGAAGTGAATCAGTGTGTGGCTACCTTTGTAACTGAGTATCTCATGGCGTAATGATCTGTAATATTTAGAACAAATGTGGATCTTTTGAGAAGCTTAAAGTCATCAAAAAAGTCAGAAAATTGTCAAACAAGATTTTTTTTTTCAGAAATGGAAACAACAACCCAATATCATTAGATTTGAAAATAAATTGTAAAAGGCACTGTAATCTTGTTACCAGTGTTAGCCACTAATATTAGCTCAGAAGTAGCTAAACATTTTTAACAGAGTTAAAAATAATCTGAAGAGCGTTAACACATATTTTATTATAACTTGTCTCCCAGACTTCAAAAGCATGGACACGGCTACTGACGGCTGTATCCAATTCACACGCCATGCGGGTGACGTCCTTCTCAACTTTAACTGCCTCCGCAACAGGAACCTCCTGACCGATGTCACCATGCAGGTGGACAGGCAGGAGTTTCATGCCCACAAGGCCATACTGGTGGCCTGCAGGTAGAGTTCACACCTTTGAATGTGTGTATCAGATATCAGGTTTATTCTTTGAATTCTAACAAATACGTGGCCTTTTTTTTTCTTCTTTCAAACAGCGGCCTTTTCTACTCAGTGTTCATGAACCCTGAGAATGCAGACCTTAAAGCCATCAGATTAGACCCAAAGATTAACCCTAAGGGCTTCTCCATCCTTTTGGATTTTATGTACACATCTTGTCTGAACCTTAAGGACAGCCTTGTCCTGGCAACCTTGGACGCGGCAATCTATCTCCAGATGGAACACGTGGTGGATGCTTGCCACAGATTCATCAAGTCTCGGTAAAACAAAAAACAAAACAACAATAATATGACTTATGCACTTTTATTTTGATGAAAGGCAAATTACTAATAAATTGTTGTTTCTGCAGGAAACTATCTCTGAATGTGCCGACTGAGGAGGTCCAGGCCACTTCATTACTTCGGGCCACGGAGATCCCTCTGAGATCACACAGTGAAGAGTCCGACTTCAGATCCAATCACCTATCAAACAGTCACCTTCACCAGGAGCACAGGGGCAACACCACCAACGTGTTCCGGGGTATTAACACATCTGGATCCTATCATGTCTATGGAGACCTCCCCGTGGATGGTGTGAAGACTGAAGTCCTACATAACATCAATACCCTTCCAAGTGAAGGGTCTTTATCCAAAAAACAATGCCTAGAGGAACCCCAGATGGACATTGCCCTCAGCGACTCCACCAGCATTACCTCCTACCCTGTGACATCACGCCCAGGTTGCCCCACAACAATTATACAAACAGCAGAAGTCCACAGAAGCCCTTACAGACAGGAAGAAAACAACCAGCTTCCACACACCAGGTGCGTAAGGGCAAGTCCAGGCTTCAGTAAAGGGGTGATCTGCAGCCCCCAAAGCCCACTCAGATCAGATTGTCACCCTAACTCCCCCACCGAATCCAGCAGCAGCAGAAATGCAACCATGAGCCTTAAACAACCTTCAGACTACCCCAAAGACTCCAGAGCCCGCAACTGGAAGAAGTACAAGTTCATTGTTATGAACCAGTCTCATAACGAGGACAATAAAGACAGCGGTGAAGCCAGGTCTTTGTCCCCCATGTTGAGCCCCTGTAGGAGTATTGAAGCAAGTGGAGACAGTGAGGTCCAGTCAGATGAGGGATCCAGTGAACAAAGAGAGGACCTGCTCAAATCTCAGATTGTTGACAGCTGTGGCAGTATCAGGTAAAGGACACTTCCATGTCAAAGGGAAACAATTGAATTTTTGATTTAAAGGTCTCTGTGTAACTCCGGTATCTGTCCTTTGCGCAGCCATTGCAGACGCTTCTCCTGCAGCTGTGACAGCCCTCAGTGCATGGACATTGGCAAACTTTCTCCAGACTTGTGCAGCAGAGATGGCAGTACCAAAATGCACTTGGAGTGTTCGTCCAGCTGTGGTGAGTACACATCAGAATGATTCCCTTGTATTGTGTCAACACTACTAGACTTTTATATATATATATTGTGCTAAATAAATCCCCCCTTTTTTTTAATAGACAACACAACATACTTCTGCAAAGCGTGTGACTTCAAGTTCCCAGATGATGATTCTCTAAAAGAACACATGGCCCAGGTCCACAGTGACAAGCCTTACAAGTGCGACTGCTGCCAGGCTGCCTTTCGCTACAAGGGCAACCTGGCCAGCCACAAGACGGTTCATACAGGTGAGAGCACGTGGCTCGTACTCCATCCTTTACCGGAGCTGCGCGTCGTGAGTGTATTTCAAATGGCTGATCTTGTGTTCCAGGGGCGAAGCCATATCACTGCAACATATGTGGAGCTCAGTTCAACCGACCAGCCAACCTCAAAACCCACACTCGCATCCACTCTGGCGAAAAGCCGTACAAGTGTGACACATGTGGTTCCAGATTTGTTCAGGTGAGGAGGGTGTGTGATGAAATGACCTGCCTTTGTGTTTGTGGAACTAAAACTGTTTGGAACCAACGTTTTTTTTTTTAATTCTCTCCCAGGTGGCCCATCTTCGTGCTCACGTGTTAATCCACACCGGAGAGAAACCGTATCCCTGTGAGATCTGTGGAACACACTTCCGCCACCTCCAGACCCTTAAGAGCCACATGCGCATTCACACCGGAGAGAAACCGTATCATGTAAGCCGCTCTGTCGGTCTTCTGTTTTACTCTAAACACGTACAGTATTTTTGTAAATAGACTGTGTATGCTACAGAAGAAGGACATCATTTTTTAAGTGCAATACCACTCTTGGCCAGCAGAGGGTATCCAAGATTCAGAAAATAGATGTTCGTTAACTTTAAAATAGTTTTATAGCCTGTGGTGGGTGTCTGTCAAACTTTAGAGTTTCATTAAATTTTTTTATCTGTGGTGGGTGTCTGTCTTTACTTTAAACTTTAGAGTTTCATTAAATTTTTTTCTCTCCGTCTTTTCAGTGTGAAAAATGTGACCTGCACTTCCGACACAAGAGTCAGCTGAGGCTCCATCTGCGGCAGAAGCACGGCGCTGTCACAAACACGAAGGCTCAGTATCGCAGGACACCCACCAGTATGCCAACTGGCCTGATGAAGTGCTAATCCTGCTGCAGTCGGTTATTGTGTTTCCTCTTGTGCATTTTATATAAATATATGTAAAAAAAACAAACAAAATCTGTCACTGACACACAGTGCTTTGCAAGTATATTCTTGTAGCCCTTATTGTATAAGATTGTAAAAGTTCTCACTTCTATTGTTGAATGTACGTTTTTGAATGTGACAATTCTGTTTTTTTATTTTATTATTATTATTATTATTTAATCCTATGGAATGTCAGCAGTAAGCCCTTTTTCTCGCTCTGATTGAAAGCCACTATTACAGGTCGGCTTTTTGGTTTTTGTTAAGATTTTTTTTTTTCCCCTGTTTCTTGCAGTTATTTTCCGCAGTCTATGTTTTGTAAATAAGATAATATATATTTCTAGAATGCCATCTGCTGGCAGAGTACAAATATATTCGAGTTAAGTTTATACCACGCACACTGAGCTTCTTTGGCCGTTAAATGCAAAGAGAGATCGTCGCAGTTTGTGGTACGTGTTGTCTAATGCTCGGATTGCTGTCTGCATATTTTCTTAATAATTTCCAGGCCCTTGTTAGTGTTTTGCACATACACATGATGCTGTGATATATTTTCATATTTTTCACATTTTTCTACCTAAAAATGTGTATAACCTCCCTGTCTGCACCTGCCAAAATCCTATTTATGTGTTTTGTTTCCTTTTCTGTATGTGATTCAGTTCGGTACTGCAGTGAAACAGTGCCACCAGGGGATCATTTAAATTATATTGTATTTCACCCAACGGTGCACTTGCATTCACCTACTTCTTATATCAGACTAACCGTTGATGTATTTTGTGTTCGACAGTACAAACGCCTTAGCAGATCTGATCTGCTCTTGTGATGCATTCTCCATTTGGTACCTTTGCTCTTTCTGTTGTTTGCCGTCAGGTGGGGTACTGTTGTAAAGACTCCTGGTATGTTGTACATAGCTAAAATGCAGATAATACCAGGCCTCAAGCTAAAAAAAAAAAAGCTCAGGAATATAAGAAATATGTAAGCAGATATTTTGTATTACATTCATGAATGTGTGTATATATACAAAAAAATTAAAATTTGAGGGACAGAAACTAGTTTTTTTGGTTTGTTTCCTTTATATTTACTTAGTCGGTACACTTAAGAATCACTTTTAGCTGTTCCTTTGTTCAGACTGAACCTATTAGTAACCTTAATAAACAGTGTCGGTGAGGGCAGTTCAGTCCCAGAGCAGATGGTCGGTCTGTAATGAGGTTAAATGGGTGGGTGGGTTTCCTCCCTTAGGCGACACCTAGAGGTGATACTGGGAAACGGCTAAAAATGAAAAAAAAAAAAAAAGTCAAGTGTGAGGTGTCAGAGTGATGGGGACATCAGAGACACACCTGTGGACAACAACACACGTGTTTATAATTATGCCGGATACGGAAAGTGATTAAGGATTTCACGTTGTGGGAGCTGGCCGATCTTCCCGGAGAGTTCCAGTCAACCCTGAGTCGAGCCGAACCGAGCCGAGCGATGCCAGCTGTGTGGGACGGAGTCATCCGAATGTCATCCAGGTACATCAAATCCCCACACGATGCTGGTGAACAGGCCAACATTTATTGTAATTATGATTTTGCCACGGGTTTGTTTTTGATAAATGTTTGACTAATAACAAATTATGTTTTCAATGGGATTTGATTAAGAAATGGTTTTGGGTTTGGTTTAAGCTCCACTAACAACAAGTTCCGGCTAAAAGTTTGTCTGCACGCCCTCTGCTGAGAAAAGGAGCAATTGCACTTCAGAACCAACAAATAAACCTATTCAACCTGATCAGTTGTATCAGGCGCCACCTACAGGTTAACAGACACTGAACCATTTTATAAATGTGTGTAGTTTCATAATTGGCTTAGCTTTAACAAAATGCAAACCCTATTTTCAGTTTCAATTAATAAACATTAAAAATACAATAAAGATTATTTATATTTAATGTAACAGAATATTCTTCTAATTAGCAGTAGCAGCTAATCAAGTCTATATAACTTACTGCTGTTAATCAATTGCTTCTCTCTCAGTGGTGTTGGGGTTTCACAACATATTTCCATGGTAAAATATACAGAAGAAAACTATAGGAGCAGAAGAACAAGATGTTGACTTTGTTTTTTATTTTTCCTCCTAAGAAGATACAGTACAGATTTTGACATTGCATGTCAAATGCTGAAATTTTGTTTAGAAATTTCCAACTAGTTTCTTTGATTTGTCATACAGAAACACACTCGGTAGATCCGTTTTTATAGCGACAACTACTGCAACAAGTCCAAACTTTTGGTCTAAAGCGCCACAATCGATTACAATGAGAAACCTTCCAGACAGAAATACGTTGCTGTGACTTTAAGATGTGTTTCCTATGCAGTTTCAAATGAGGCTGCAATCTTCACTGAACCCGATCTAGATGGCTGTGTAAATTAGCTAACGTCTAACAATTACATACATGACATACATGACAAACCCACTCCATACGAGTGCAGCAAATATAAAAGACATGGAAAAAGAAATAAAATTAAACATCTCATGGACATTAGGTCGTAACATACTTGCAATTCATAAAAAGGAAAGACAAACAGGGAAAGGTGGAGGGTGTTGGCAGATTTAGTCTTCTTTGTCCAAGATGGCCTTCACATCTGCAAACACCTGAAAGAGAAAACAAAAAAAATAGGTCAAATGATATTTTTTTTTTATAAAGCACAACAGAATCTATTGTTTGTAGTCTCATTAATCCAGTCTTAAGTAATCGGGTTATTTTTGTTACTTGTTACTAATAATTTCATTTAGAATAATAATGTAAATCTTATGGGATTTTTCAGTTACAGTTTATGATGCCTTTCTATTTACTTACCACCTCCACCGAACGAGAGGCATCTACTCTGCACACCTTCCCAAGTTTTTCATACAGCTCAATGATTGGTCGCGTAGACTGTTGGTAGGTTTGGATTCTGCATCGAAGGAGAGAATGTTCTCCGTTATTGGGGTCAGGGGACACAGGGGACCCAATGGAGCAACAAAATAGGTCAAAACACAAGTGCAGGTACGTGACAGTGTGTTAAATGGGTTACAGACAGATCCATACAGACCCAACCAGCTGGTTCTGAGTGTTATTGAGAGAAAAATCAACCGTTCAATCGATCTCGTAGGGCAGCGGCGGACATTCGAGCAGAAACATTTCAAGAACGTAATGTGTGGAATGTTTTGCCGATCATCTCTGGACTTCACCTTTTCTCCAGACTTTCTCTGTTGTCGTCTGTGCGTCCACTGCTCTTCCCCCGTTCTAGACACCTTTGAATGCAGACCTGTGGAAGAACACGATTGTCTTAAAACTCAAACTCTGCTCGTAGTGCAGATTTGAAACAGGTTAAGCTTTAACTTTCGTATTCCTGGAGCTGACCTCGGTGCTGCAGTCGAAAAAGAGCACAAATTTAACGTCGGCTTTGTCCTTCATGACGTTGTTCCAACCCTGGAGGTTGTCCTCGTTGCGGGGAAAGCCGTCGATGAGGAACCGAAACTTTTTCTCATCCTTTTGCATAGTCTCTTCCATCGCCTTAAAAACAGAAACAAAACAAAACATTTCGACTCAACATGAATTTATTGAAATGATGTGTTTAAAAACGTCCTTAAAATACTCCAAGGCTGCAAGTTTAAGTGAATGTTCTATAACAATAAATGACAATTTACATATCCAAACATGAGTTCAAATCAAATATTTGAGCTTCCAGATTCTTCAGTAGAAATGAATGATCCATCAAACAGATACTGTGTGCTCATAAATATATGTACAGTTAGAAACAAATTCAAATTTCAGTCATATTTCAGCACACACCTTCCTGAGGAGGTTGATAGTAATTTCCACTGGGACAATTTTGCCCTCCTTGATGTAGCTGGCAATGAGCTGTCCAAACTCTGAGCCCTCTCTGGCCCGCTCTGCTCTCAGCAGGTCCCCAGCAGACAAGTGGGTGTAGCTGTAATTCTAAAGAAACAAAAAAACAAACAGAGTTTAATCCTGCAATCAATCTTTACCATGGACACAAGGTTGCATATCCTATGACAACTGGCCAAATTCAGACCAATTTCTTCTGCACACACAAGTCAGGAAAATCAAGTTCGTCTGCCCTGAATGAATAGAGTCTATTTGTAGCCGTCATTCAGGCCTAACCACTGCAGATAAAAACACACAGTTTTCAGGGAGCAAAAATGGTTCTTTAAAAAAAAAGTCGTATTAAAAGACATTATGTGAGTACGCTCAATCAGTGCTAAACTATTTTATTCATTACCTGTAATAGTAATAATATTCAACGGTTGTGTTAGCTTACACAACATTCTCTGATTTTGACTGATTATTCTAAGTGTTTGTTGACATATACAACAAGAAAAAAGCAAGTTTCTGGGGTTTATTGACATTTTTCCTCTGCTGTCTACATTGGAGCGAGTTGTAATATCAACGTACGTGGAGACAGGGGCGACCAGGTGTTACAAGTTAAAGGTGAAAAGGTTTAGTTCACTGGTCCAGACTTTTCCTCCATCATTACCTAATCTCCTCTGTTTAGATTAGACCTCACGTTGTACACGTAGCAAATGTCAATATTAAACCTTGCTTGTTGTTTAAACAGTGTCTTTAATAAAAGGTCTTTCAAAACGAACCCTATTTACACAGGGCTACGTCACATGAATGTTGACAACCTGACGTTAGGGCTGCACTTTTACAACTTACTCCGGGTTTGTTTAGCTACACATATACAATAAACTATGTGTGGCTAGCTAGCCAGCTAGCATCACTGATTCATCTCGGAGAACAACCGGAAGTAGTAACGATTCCGACACTGGCCTATAAAAAGGCTGGAAATAAGGCCAGCGTTCAGCGTGAGACCTAACAGATACTTCTAACGCCATTATGGCTACATTTTGAATGTAAAACTCGCCAGTTTTCATTGTTCTGTAGCTCGTCATCTCCCATAATTACCTCCACGATATTGGAGCACTGAGTCCCTTTGCCGGCACCAGGCCCTCCCAGCACGAACACAACCTGCGGCTTCATCATCAATGACACTCTGTGCAACAAGCTCGGCGCCCTCTGAGACACGACACTGAAGAGACGGCCGATCATAAACCAGCGCCACTGGCTACTGACGTAAACCAGCAGGGTTGGGCGCGGAAGGGCAAAGGACAACTGTTGTAGCAGTGACCAGTAAATACGTGACGCTGGAGATGGGAAGAAGCGGAAGATGTAAAAGCTAAGCGAAGACACCGCTTCCGCTGTTGATTTCCTCCACCAATCACAACTCCACAGGCACGTGACGTATGTCGTAAATACGCTCATTATAATTTGCTCCCGTTTTTTCACGCCTATTTTTTTTAAATTATTTTTCTTTTACAAAAGATTTAAATAATACTTGAGATGTGTAAACGTTTTTTCTTAATTTATTTTAATGTTATACACATTTAAAGCTGCCATGTTGTGAAACGAAACGAAACAAAGACAATGATGTTTTATGTTTACATCTCTTTTTTCTTTTCCTTCTTCTCAAATATTCATTCGTTTTAACTGTGATACCTGCAGCTTCTCAACATCGGTGAACACTTTTAGTTTTAGTTATTATTAAATCTTAAAACTGTCTTTTTTTATTTTGCGTTTCTACACAAAAGGACCAGTGAAAGTTCTATGAATAAACGCTTCTGACAAATTACCACATGTTGACTGTGAAGTGCAACTTCTAACTTAAAAAAAAACTTCTGAATTTTGTCAATAGTAAATGGCCATTGATATTAGTGCAATAACAGTGTGCAAATTTGTGATTGGTGACAAACTTAAATTATTGTTTTTTTTACTTTGATTTTATGCATTTGTTTATTTATTCAAATGTGCAAATGGGAAGAAAAAAAATCTTCACACCATGATGTCAGTAACAGTATTCCACCCTCTCTTGGGGCCGAAGACGTCCTGGTAGCGCCCCTGCTTCACAGCAGCAGCTGGGTGTTGCCCCTCCCCTGCCTCTCCAGCATCAGCAGCACCTTCCAAGCCGAACGGGTCGAGCTGCGGCTACAGGAGAGGCAGGAGGACAGTAATGATGGTGCCCTCCGCTCCGTGATGGCTGTAGAAGGCAGCGAGGAGACACCACTGACTTAGGGAGCGCCGGTTTGGGAGCAGACGGTGTTTTTTTTGTTTTTGTTTTTTTTGTCAGCACGTCCCTCTCTCTTCGCTGCTTCCATTCATGATGCACCATTCATGCGTCCTCAAGAATGGCAGCCAGTGAGGAGAAAACACGATCGCCGCCTTTTTGTAGTTCATCTTTTATTAGGACACACTTTGATGGGCCGTCTTTTCATGTAGGTCAAAGTGATGGAGAGCCAGACTGTGCCTTCTTCTGAGGGCACAGCTCGAATGTAGGGCTGCTACAGGATAAAGGGAAGCAAATCAAAAAGACACCCTGCCCCCCTCCCTCCCTCCCTCCCTCTCTCCCCTCCTCTGACGCACCTGGTCGCCCCTGTCTCCACCTGACATGACAGCGCGGAGCGGAGAGCGCAGCAGCAGCATCCAGTGCCACCGACGTGCGGCTGGACGTTTGGATTTGACGCGGAGGAGTGGAGGCAAGGTGGAGGAGAAGGAGCAGCAGCAGCAGGAGCAGCTCAGAGGAGGTGGAATTACAGTTTCTGGGGACGAGCGCCAAGGGCAGTGCGGCAGTCAGCAGGCAGACCGGGGGGAGGAGGCTGCAGAGATGTGTGATCCTTCCCTCCTGTAGTCCCTACTGCGCTCTCACCTCCTCACCATCCCACCCTGAACATAATGGATGGCTGTTTTTCTGTTTGATCAGTAGTGACTGGGATGGCTCCTATCTTTGTCTCCTCCTCACCCCTTCTCCAACACTCACCGTGATGATGGGCAAGTAAAAGATTAGATCTGCTCTTCCAGCAAGGGTGGAACCCGAAGGGCGACCGATGTGCATACTGGCCAGGTATCATTTGTTCCCTTCTTTTCTTGTTTTGCTCCCTTTGCTCGTCGCCTGCACTATGGGCTGTATTCAGAGCATTGCATGCAAGCCCCGCATCAGACGGGAGAACATCGTGGTGTACGAGGTGTCAGCCTCTATTGATCAGTGTCCCACCATCATTGAGGAGAACTCACCCATCGTCCTCCGTTACAAGACGCCTTACTTCAGGGCCTCAGCTGGGGTCGTGATGCCGCCGGTGCCCCGTAATGAGACCTGGGTGGTGGGCTGGATCCAGGCTTGTACCCAGATGGAGTTTTTCAACACATATGGTGACATTGGAATGTAAGTTGCAAAAAGAACACCAACAGACCGAAAGTGCATGTGCGTTTGGACACGGTGGAGGATGTTGACAAACTTTGGGAATCCTCCGTTTAAAATCTGACCTTCCCGTTCACAGCCCCCATGTCGAAGATGTTGTTTTAGCGTTCTGTAAATCTCTTTACACACATTTAATCGCTTCTCAAAACATCGCTGTGACCCAACACGATTCCAAGCAAATGCTTGCTTTTACCCACCCACCCCTTTGTCGATCCCTCGTTACTAACCCTCTCTCACTTAGAACATCTGCTCCTCAAAAGGCCCCTCGCTCTGACATCTTCCATTTCTACTCACAGGTCCAGCTGGGAGATACCAGAGCTGCGCGAGGGTCGAGTCAAGGCCATTAGTGACTCCGATGGTGTCAGCTATCCCTGGTACGGCAACACCACAGAGACCGTCACTCTAACGGGCCCTACCTCCAAACCGTCCCGCCTGACTGTCAGCATGAATGACAACTTTTACCCCAGCGTGACCTGGGCGGTCCCCATCAGCAACAGCAACACGCCCATGCTGACCCACATCACCAGGGACCAGAGCTTCATCACCTGGCTAGTGGCGATGAACTCTGTGACCAAGGTCAGACAAGAAACACGCAAACGAAACTTTGTTCTTTTTGCTCGGCCTCCAACTGATCTGACCGAGAAACGTAGCAGTTTTCAGATCAAAGTTCTGACCCGGAGAGTGAGGACAGTAGGAAGACATATTTTCCAAACATAGACCTGGTTATTCTGCTGATGTTTTTTTAACAGATAAACTGATTGCAATTGGCAGGACATCACAGTCTGTAACAGACAATGTTGTCCCTTTTTTTTTTCCTGTTTCCATTAACCATCCTGACAGTCAGCGGTGAGACAAATAACGATTACAAACTGCGCTGGCATGTGTCCGTGATCATTTGGGACTTGCACACCTTGCACCAATTACAGCCGACAACATCAAGCCCCTGTCTTCCTCCTTGAGAAGTAAATTACTTTCCTCAGAAGCAGTGAGAAGAAGTCATTAAAAAGGAAACAGGAACTCCTCCTTGGCTCTAAACGTAATAAAATACAGTGTTTATATTGTCAATCAATACAGCTTGCAACAAAAAAAGGTATAGTACCATATTATACACAATATATACTACTATAAAAATGTTAAGTTGAAGTTGAAGCACTGAAAATAGAAGCTGCTTTAAGTAGGAAAACGTGCTAGTATGTGATCATTTTTCCTCCAATTTTCTGCAAACTATTTTAGCTACTATGACATTTAGCATTTTTTTTCTATTTGATTAAATTTCTCATTGATGTTTTCAGGTCCATAACTTCAGGTATATCAGCTACCAGGACGAAGCTTTCTACTTTGTTTAAAGTTTTGCCCGATTTAACTACAAATCCATATTATTTTTGTAACACCAGGGTTTTAGTCTGATACGTCAAGTCTTCATCCATCAGCAGCTACTCTTAGTCTCTGATCCATCTGTACGTACAACACATACTCCATTCAGTGTCGTTGTCTTCTTCCAGGAGCGTATTGTGTTGCAGACGGTCCGGTGGCGGATGCGGGTGGACATAGCCGTGGATCCAGACATGCCTCTGGGCTCTCGGGCTTCACTCATAGGTCGTTCCTACCAGGAGCAGCCGCACATCCTTAACTACCAGGAGCCCATTCCTCCCAACGCGCTGGGGAGGCCGAACGCCAATGACGCCCAAGTGCTAATGTGGAGGCCACGAAGAGGGGCGCCACTAGTAGTCATACCAGCCAAATAAAAAGGCAGGACACAGAGAAACTTCAAATGGTTCCTTTCTGCGGAAAAGGGATGATTACGTTTGATGAAGTTGCGAATCGTATCGAAGAGAGAACAGACAGTTTTCCCGCGATGAAGACACTGTTGGATCTTTCTCTCTATGAGTCGTAAATGGATCAATAAAACGCAGCACAGTGGATGGTAAATGCTGAATTGGACATAGAAGAGTGTCTGGGAGAAAGGTCTGCAGTAAACAAGTGTCATCAACCTTGAGTCGCTTCAAGGATTTTTTTCAAGTCCCTGTTGCCGCTGAACTGCAAGAAAAACGTTATGCCTGCTTTTTAGTAAGATTGAACACTGTTTTCAGGACTACCATGGAGGTATTAGTCTGCAGCCAGAACTGCATCCTGCATCCTAACATAGATCTTATTGCATGAGAGATGGAAAGAAAAATGTTTTTGAGAAGTTTTTTTTTTTTTTTTTACAAATGACAGTAAGAATGATCAAATATTAATTTTCTTTGGGAAAGTGAGCCAAATCTTAAATCTTGTAAGCACCAAAAGCATCTTCAGAACATCCAGTTACAACATTAAGTGATGTATTACTTGAGTAAGATTTATGAGTCCTTTTAGGTTGAAATACTGACATGCATTACATCCAAAGATTGTTTTAAGACTTAAACAGATCTGCTGTAGTTGCCATTGGTCTGTTTTGGGAACACACCAATCTTATGCACAAAACATTTTCATGCCTCTATAGTGCAGCTGATATTGTATCCAGATGGATTATGAACCAACAAAAAAGACGAGCTTCACTTGCTTCCAAATTAAATGATTTTTTAAAAAAAAACACTTTTTTTTTTTCACCTGTGCTTTCAATTAATGACTGGAAAATGTGCCGGTAAAAAAGGTGATAGCAGCAACAGCCACACCATGTCACAGTAGGAACCTGTCGACTGGTTTATTTATAGGTTGATATGTTCTGGGTCAACCAAAAAAAAAAGATTATATATATATATNGTTACTTTCATCTGGAGGAAAGTACCATGTGCTAATGGAGCACCCTTTTTCACAGGTGTTTTCAGAGCACCCTTTTTTCAGAAAACACCCCCCTTGTTTTCACTGTTTTGGTTTAGCCCAACCCACAGCTCGAAGAACCTACAAGAAACATACAGTATATCCGGTGGTTTGCTGAATATTTATTAAATTAAATTAAATTAAATTTTAAGTGTTTCATTTAAAGCCAGTCCTCCTCCTACACCATGTCAAAGACACTGACAGTTTGGCAGCATTTTACAAAAAAAAAGACAACCGAAAATAATCGAATGAAAAGTTAGCAAGCAACAGTTGGCCTATCACAGCTCGACAACAAACATGGCATATCACCAAAAACCGGTCAGCAAACCTGTCTGTCAGTTATTATAATATGACAAAATCAATCAGATAAATATTCCTCAATAGTTTTACTGCTGATATCACTAGTTATCATATCTCATATCTCTATATTTGTGGAAATCATGGACTGTGTCCGAGTCTCTTAAGTGCGTAATTAATTTCAGTGCAAAACAATTAGGCCAAAACCGATTTATTATAAAGCTAATAGACTATTAGTCTTTATGTTTAGTTTTAATTAATTTAGGTGGACAATACTGTAGTCTTTTAATTAATTTAGGTGGACAATACTGACAAGCACTGCTTAGTTTCCTTATTTAAGCTGAACTCTTTAATAATAAAATAAAGGTTGACCCAAAACACACTATTTCTATGATGTTTGGTCTGTTGAAGGGGGAAAAAAAGTTTAATTCTACAACATAACACCAATATAAGGATGCAATTTTTATTGTTTTGGGGGGTAATTTTGCCAACTTTACAATAAAATTGTGTTTTTTATGAAGCGGTGTTACAATGTGCTATTGTGTTTTACAGAGACGGTTTATTCAGAGAGAGGCCTGACTGTGACATCGTCTGGACTCAGGCCTGGTCTCTGCCTGCCACTCCATACATACCACATGACTCATCCTCCATCTGTGCTTCCCTCCAGGTTTGCACCTTACCTTTCCATCTGCCTCCTCTTTTCCTGCCATCACTGTTTCCTTAAAAAAAAAAACCTATTTCTCCTCGCCTTAATAAACTGTTGTGTACATCTGGCTAAATGTTGTATGTCAGCGCCACTGTTTAAAAAAAAAAAAAGCCTGACATCAGCATATTCACATATACACAGTTCAAAAGTGGTCGTATTGATTTAATGGGTCTTTGTTGAATTCTGCACTGCACCTCATTCAGAATCGGTTTCTATGGCGACTCTTTTGGTTATCCAAATGTTCAAAATATTCATGGACCTCACCAGCTGTGTGTGAATGTGTGTGTGTGAGATTAATTCATTGCTTTCACTTTGAAGTAAGAAAAAAAAGGGCTTTATTTTGCATTAAAAAAAAGAAATGTTCATTTTGAATTAGAGGGACTCTTTGAGCTACAAGATCAAAACAGTCACATCCCATAATGTACAAAAACAGCATTGTCAGCATTTCTATACAGAGAAAATCCTTTCTCATTACAGCAGGTTAACTTCATATTTAGCACTGTGTGGAAGCCCTTTCCAAGGACATGTGTCCCAGCATCACTAATACTCCTCATATTATAATACATAACACATTGTACCTAACAGAAATGTTTAACATCCAACCACTGATTTAATGCTTTCTTATAATGATCCCTTAAAGGTTCATCATCTGGAATATATTACTATGACCATGTCATCAAAGACTAAATGTGTAAAAATACAAACAGCCAACCTGACATTTTACTCAGCAGTAAACAGTGTCAGGTCCAAAGTGAAAAATTCAGGTCTTTTTTATAGATAAAAATATTCTTTAAACCCTGTCAAAACTAACCAAAAAAGTACAAAGTTACAAATCTTCGTTTCCTGTCACGGTGTAATATTCACAGTGTCTGTGGAAATATAAATATTTTCAGCAGTATTATTGGCTTGTTTTTCTTCTGTTTTACTCAGTGTATGGCATGTGTTGGCTGCCAGCACCGCTACAGACACACAGTTGGTCAGTCTGTACATGTTGATGTCATGACAGACTCAACCAAAAATGTACACTATGTGTACAAGCTTACAAATAACAGGGTCTGCAGTTGTAATTGTCTCGCTACATTTCACTTCTTAGGTCTGGTAGCAAGGTGGCAGTGTTGTAAATTCGGCCTGCAGTACCCAATATGTCCGCCAGTGGCCACTGTTTTACATAATGCAGTTTAGGATTGCACATACAGCACAGAATGTGGTCATTACAGTAAACGTGTGCGTCTGTCCAGAGCGTTCCTCAGACTTGGGCTCCAACTTCTGCCCACTCCTGGTGACACGAAGTTCACAGTCCATTGAAATCCGTGTTTGTTTGTTTTCAGTTTTCAGTCTTGACAGTGATAAGAGGGGGAGGTTTGCACTGGTAGCTGTAGAGAAATGTGGCAGTAATAACCAGCACCGCCCCTAAAAAAAATGTTCTAAGGGAAGGGCAAGAAACAAAGATAAGATAAGATTAGAACAAAGACGATGAACATCGATGAAAACGATGTGAACATTAATTCACGAACTGAAAGACAATGTGGTGTCTTTAAGCTGCTGTGAATGTTTAGAAAATACATTCAACAATTTCTGGCTGTCACTTATGTTCATTAATTAATCCTCTTCCTGCTTATCTTTTTTTTTTCTCCAGGTCCTGGGAGGAGCTGAACCAAGCCAAGCAAATAGAGACAAGGTACTTCCTGGAGAAGTGAACAATTAATTATTAATTAGCTGCTTAAGTTAAGCTAAATTTAAGTTATTTGTGGGGTAGATTTTCACTGTTTATCTCTAATCATTTGGTTAACCTATTGGTTAACTAGTTTCTGTTTTATTGTTAGCTTTAATTTCCCTGGTATCAAACCTTTCACTGCAAATGGAGTGTGACAGAAAGGCTTGACTCACTCAGTAGGATTGAAGTCTTTCAACAGGAAATATGAAATGACCGCAGAAGCAATGATGGACAGTGAGGTAGCAAATCCTTTGAGGATGTTGTCTGCGTATTTAATGACCACTGCAATGACCAGTCCTCCCACCGCCTGTGTAGAGAGTGTCAAAATGACAATAAACAATATATATGAATAGATCAAACAGCATTGATAAAAAAAATAAATGAATGTAATGAGCGAGGAGAGTCAAACCTGCAAGATGATGACAATGTAGGTTATAGTGTTGTAACCTTGAAATACCCCTGATTCTCGTATTTTGTCATAATCATAAATCACCATTCCTGTCATGGCAAATATGAAGCCAAACACACCTTGGAGACAAAACAAAACGAGCATTTTTTTAAATTCCTGTAATTCTATATTTAAATATCTAGTCGTGCTCTCTCACCAAGCTGTATGTTACGGACCCAGACGCTCTGCTTTGTCTCCTTGAGGATTTTTTCAAAGTAAACTCCAGCAAAGCCGCTGGACACGCAAGCCATGAGCACAGCGACAAGACCCACGAACTGGGAGCTGGCAGTCAGGCTTTTCTGCTCGTCTTGAGTACTTTGCGGCAACTGGTAGGAAAATAAAACATCAGATATAAATGTCCGTGTACAGAGAAGAAACTGTATAAATGTACAAGATTCTCTCTCTGCTCCTTCACCTGCACTAGAGTGACTCCAGCCATGAGGAGGAAAAGGGAGATCCACTGATGGAGACTCAGCTTCTTCCCCAACATGAAGACGGAGAATAACGTGGTGGTAAGAATCTTCAGCTGGTACGTGACCTTCGTGAAGCACAGCACGAAAAAAACACGTAAGGAACGGCTGGTGAGGTCAGTGCCTTATTACACACTCAGATCTGTGTGTCACCTGATAGGTGGCTCCATCCAGGTTGGACAAGGCGACGTAGAGCAGATTGTTCTGCAGCGTGTAGATCCCTGCAGGGATGGCCAGCTTCATGGTCTCCAGAGGTTTGTTCACTATCTCCTCCTTCAGGAGTCGGTTCATCAGCTTTACACTGAAACCTGGCGGACAGACGGAGGCGTGTTGTTATGAAATCTGAACCGGAAGGACAGAAACGCACACAACGTCTAGACACTCACCGCTGTCTTTGAAAACCAAGAGGATGCAGGTGAAAACCTTCAGCGCCTCAGCACACACCACAGCCGAGGAGGCCAAGTAGCGGGGGCCCAAGTCCTTCTGGGTGCGGGAGTAACGCATCGTGAGCACCAGTGAGGTTGTCTGCAGCACCAGGACCCCCAGGGAGACATACTTCAGCCTGGAGGAGTTCAACACCATGGTGGAAGACTTTGTTTCCAAAACCGGAGCCTTTGGAAAGACAGGAGGGAAAAAAACCCCCACAATTGAACAAAGGTAAATATTATTCTAAGTGAAGACACAGTCAGGTTTCCTGACTCCTCCACGTCAGCATGTTCGTGTAACATCACTAGTGGTCAAAAATGGGTAAAGAAAGAAGTGAGACAGAGATGAGGTGAAGATTTAAGTCAGAAAGAGGAGAAGGGTGGATGAGGGTTTTATGTTGTTAGGCCTGCAGGCCCAGAGCAGGTTCACATGACAAGAAAGAGTCTCCTGTCAGGTTCTCTGGGCTATTATATTAGCCCTGGGGCTGAGTTTTGTTGACAAGTATGCAAATATTTCTGTGTCTACCAATAAGTCATCCACTCATTCCAACATGTCATATCTTATAGACTGCACATCACGTTCAGCCTGGTATTGTCAAACCAATGAAAGATGCTCTTTAAAAGGAATTTCACAACGCCTTGACAAGAGAAGCCACAGTACGAACTAGAAACACAGCACTTTGACCTGATTTGGCTCTGAGTGCTGTGATTTACATCTAGGTTTGCTCAGAAAGGTCCAAACCAATAGGCTTTTTATGACTGAATCAGTTCATTTTTAGCTAATGGCTCTGAGAGGGCTGTAGTAAGCAGTAGTGTAGTATGCACTGCAATCTGCAGTTGCTCTTGTGCAGATTCCATTTCTGCAAAAATGCATTCTAAATGCATGTGAACTTTGCAGTAAATCTTTAAAATTAAATTAATTTAAAAAAAAAAAATTTAATCAAATTGTTTTAATGCATTAAAATAAGATGCTGTACCTGGTCCGGGGGCATAACGGCTCAAGTCTGAAACTGCAGTTGTGGGTAGACGTCTTATCATGTCAGTCCTTGTCCCTCCTATGATAAAAGCTTACAGTCCTCATATTTACGACATCAGCTGATCACCAGAAGGGCAGTCCTGATACTACGCTGACACACCCTGCCCGTTCAGTCCAGGATATTCACACATGATGTAACGAGCCTCCATGTTTAACTTCCAGGAGGTGCAATCCAAATAAACATTAATCAGTCATTTACAAATAGCAGGCTTCAGTTTTGTTCGTTCTAGATCATTCTAAATACTTTTTAGAATTACTAGTCATGGTACACGGTTCCAGTAACAGGTAATCTAACTAATAACTTACTTAATTACACGTTACTGACAATGTAAAGCTGCCCTTTGAAGCTGTTGTCACTTAACTGTCAGCCACAGGAGGGCGCTTTTTCGTGAGGGAGTAGTGCAGGATGATAAAACCACATACTTGATGATAATTGGCTAGGCCAGAGTTAGCTTTCAATGGTAATCCAATCAGACATATTTAAACTAAAAAAAAAAGGTAACGCAGTTACTTTTCCTGGTGACTAGTTACTTTTATAGTGTAGTAATTCAGTTACTACCTGAGTTACTTTTGGGGAGACGTAACTGATAATTACACAGACGTTTCTTTTCCCCTCAACAAGAACCACAAAGTGAGGTATTTTTAATATGCTAACTTCCTTGTGCTGCAGACATTTGGCTGAACTAACCCTGTGTGTCCTCATCACAACCGCACGTGGTTTGGAGAACATTTACAAAACCTGTCGGCTCCCACACCGACTACGACCTGAGCTGCGTGGCCTTGATCAGCATGAGGTCGTAAAAGGTCAGTAGTCACAGTCCCCGCCCAACACTAAAAATCAAATCCCTACATTACGATAAAGAGTTAGCTGATGGTGCCAGATACATTTTTCATTGTGAGTCCACAATGTGCTGCAAATTGAATGTACGTAACCATTCATTCACAACAGTTCAAAACTAGACCATAGGAGACAGGTCGGATCTCGGAAGAAAAAGGAATATTTAACAGTATGATATATTTAATATAATTACAAAGTACTCTCACAGCTATTAATTCCTAAATATAATTACAAAGTACTATTCTGAACATATAGCAAAGTTTAACATGGCAACAACTCTGACTTGTTATTCACCATATTGAAAAATGCAGCATTTCACTCACCTCCTGCAGGCGGTGGTGTCAGATTAGCTCTCTTTTTACATTTTCTTTGTCTGAATGTGTTTCGGTTTCTTTTTCCGTCACTAATCTTGTTTATGAGCACAGGAAGTGCTCATAAACCAACATTTGCACCACGGCTTTAGAAAGTGTGTTGACTACAGTCTCTTGTCCTTGAGCATGACAGTTCAAATAACAAAGATAATATATTGGTTAGTTTTAATAGCAGCAGAAATGTGTATAACTATTGACAATGTTGTTTTTGTGTGTAGAATGGCCTAAATACACAATAATATTTTGTCTTCAGGCGCCACCCTGTCCCAATTTTAAGGACCTTGAGAGTCTGTATTTGGCAGAGACCATCCTGTGAAGCCTCACTACGAACAGATCTATGTTGTAATTGCTTTGAATTTCTAGAGAAATCATCATACAACTACTTGTTTCAATCAGAAATGTTTTTAAAATGTTTCAATAGTAGTACATTTACACGAGTACATTTGAAACAAAAGGTATGAAAAACCCTTTAGTCTTACATTGCTCATTCCTAACTTTAAAAAGTAGACTGAGACTAAAAATGACCTCGTTTTACTCGAAAAAGTTAGACTCGGTAAATGACTTCATTCAGGCAGTGTGTTTTAATTTAAGTTTGTGCCTACATCGATGTGACGTCAGAGGTCCAGTCTGCCAACAGGGGTGTTGACGTGGTTCAAACAACACAGGCAGCCTTTCATTGAGAAGACCTCGCTGCGTGGCTGCCCCTGTCTCTGGGTGGGTACACTCACGTACGTGTACATGCATAAGAAACTCAAACAGCGGACGGTAAAGATGTTGGAAAGTTTGCGACAATTTCTACCATAATCCGACCAGTTACGAATATTACAACTGCTGCTCGGTTTATTTTCTAATAAACCTGTCTTGTTTGAGCAGGAATAGCGGCGTGTGAAGCCAAAGGAGAATGAATGAATGAAATAAAGTTGAAAATGTTCCTATAAAACCCACGTGTTATAAGACAACAAAACTTGATTAGACACAACCTTTCTTCCTTGAGTTAAAATCCCCAAAAAAATGAATGCAGACAGAGTCAAGACAGAGCTTTGAGAGGACCTTAAAACACTTATATCTGCCTCCTAAATAAGTCCGAGTCTGCAGTAGAGTTACCTGAGGAGGTGAGTCTCAGCTGGAGGACATCGGTTGACCAGGTACTGCTCTCGGTATTAGCTGCTTCTCCTCTGCCTTAGCACGACACATATCGGTTAAAACAGGCACAAACACCCGCGGACAAAAAGGTGTCTCAATAACGTAAACGAAGATGCCCCCTCCCCTTCACTCCCAGCCCCGTCTTTCTGAATCTTGAGGACCGCAGACTCCGCAGAACTGGTGACACCTGTTGGAGGAAAAGAAAAACGGCTTTGGGGGTAGGATTTAGTACACTCAAGTTACGTATGATTGAATATTTCATATATTTTTACATTTAATTACATAACGTAATTATTCCCAATCATAATTTATGTTATTACCATAACATAATTATTCCCAATCATAATTTATGTTAAAATTAATTAACAATAACATCAAATTTCACTGAAAGATAAAACATTATACGTATTTCATCGGTACAGTTTCTTGCATTTTTTACCGTCTCCCAGCTAAACTTTGCTTTAACTCTTAAGATCTCTTCATAATAATAATAATGCTGCAATGGTGTTTTATGTAATTGACCGCGAGAGGGCGCTGTATTCTACTTGCCATCGCACCGCACAACAAATCACGAAGAAGAGGGACACGTGCTTCCGGTGTTTTCCAAGGTATGCATTTCCTTTGCGGGGAGACCTGTTTTTTATCCGCGTCGCGTTTGTTGTTAACTGTCTGTAAAAATGGTTCGTAAATTAAAATTTCACGAACAGAAGCTTCTTAAGAAAGTTGACTTTATCAACTGGGAGGTGGACAATAATCTACACGAAGTCAAGGTGTTAAGGAAATATCACATCGAGAAGAGGGAGGACTACACCAAGTAAGTGCTCGTATCTGTTAGCGACTGACAGACTGGTGTAAAACTATAGTCAGTTATTTTATAAAGCCAATGTTATTTTATTGCTACATTAAAACGATAACAGCCACTGATAGCCAACATTCCCTGCAGTAAAAATATTTCCAAACGTCGGTAAACTTGTGTCAGGACTCATTTGTATTGAATGTAAGATATATTTAATTACAGCCACTTTAACTAAGATATAAATTACATGTACGTTTGTTTAATTGCTGGATATTGAGTTGAAGTTATCTCTTGTTTTACTCTAATTGTGTAGGTACAACAAACTGAGCCGTAACGTCCGAGATCTGGCCCAGAAGATCAGAGATCTGGATGACAAAGAGGGCTTCAGAGCCCAGAGTACTCATCGACTTTTGGAGAAGTTGTGAGTGTGCTGGTGTGAAAAACAGACTTGACAGATTTGTTTGTTTTCTTTGCTATAATGATGTTGTGTTCTTGTTGTCTCTCTGAAGATATAGCATCGGCCTTATACCCACCAAACAGGACCTGTCCCTCACAGAAAAGGTCACGGCGTCTTCGTTCTGCAGGTAAAGGATTTAGGACAAACTCAAGTAGTGGATAATAAAAACATTAAACTTCTGTACTTGAGCTTAAAGCTGCTACATCTGCTGCTGTTCTCCTGTAGGAGGCGACTGCCCAGCATCATGTTGAAGCTGCGTATGGCTCAGAACCTGAAGATGGCCATCACGTTCATCGAACAAGGACGTATCCTTCAACAACGTCATGCCTGTTTAATGGAATTTAATCACTTAGTTTTAGTAGCATCTGTTTAGAGGGGGGTGTTGAATTTCCTGCTTTTAATTAATATTTCATTTAAGAGTTTTGACAGACCTTGATTTACTCAAAGATGTACGTGTTGGCCCAGAAGTCATCACTGACCCAGCATTCCTCATCACCAGGTTAGTGTCTACATTGGATTTTTAAAAAAAAACTCACTTATTGTTATCAGACAGTGATATACATATATTTGTGCAATTTCTGTGACCTGTTTTACAGAAATATGGAGGACTTTATCACGTGGGTGGACTCCTCCAAGATCAAGCAGCATGTCATGAATTATAATGAGGAGGTGAGGAGTCATACGAATAGAATCAACAGTTTATATGACAGCCAGAGATGATTCTTTTTATAACATACAATTCATTGTTTCTCCTGCAGAGAGATGACTTTGACCTGCTGGAGTAAGTCAAAATCCAAAGTATTTGCTACACACGGAGGATGGATACCCAAGTCTCTGGATTTGAATTTGAATTTCAGCAATTCTGTTTTCTCTGTCCACTGTGGGGTTTGATTTACCTGGACTCTTTGAAGAGCATAATTTTGTCCTGGATTTTTGTCCATTTAGTTGATCAGATTGATGTGAAGAAGCAGAAGTGCTTGCGTGGACATGATCTGCCTGTCAAGTTCACCTGTGACACAGGACTCCAGACATTTGAATTGATGTTTCCATAAAGGCATTTTTGATTTTTGAGATCATTTATTTGGGTTGTTTGTGTCAGTGTATTGGCATTAGGAAATAAAACAGTGTCATGTGTAGTAGAAACAAACACTGGTATTTATTTTTGTCAAACGCAACAGTGCAGTGTAAACATTGGGGAAAAAAACCCCAAAACATTAAGACTTTATAAACGATTTAATCCAATACTGAAACCCTAACACCAGCATGTAAACAGCTTCTCTCAACATTACAGATGTTACAAATTCTCCACCAAAAGAACACAAAGAAATCCCAGCACATTAGGAAAATATTTGACATCACTTTTGATACTTTAAAAAAAAAAAAAATCCCACCCACAACATCCACAGGAGTAACATTAATGCTTCTGGCACCAAAATAGTTTTATTTTTCAATTTCAGAAATCTATGGTAGCCATTAAAAAACCTTATAGATCAACTTCAAACTGAGCTGTGAGAAACTCTTCGTTCGAGTTACTTCTATGTATTTGGGGCATTAAGGTGGACAAATCATTTGCATAATCTCCAAATGGCCTTAATCACAGCCATTTAGCCAACCTTACTTACCCCACCCCCCTGCTATGCTTATAGGACAGGCCATTAGGACCCTCACCAAGCCTCTCCCCGAATAAATGATAAAGATGCAGCAGGATGAGACAGGACTGACGCCATCTCCTTCCGTGTAAATGTCCGACATTCAGGAGCCATCAGAGCCACCAGAAACGCAGGTAGACGATCAGAGTGATGAAGAAGACGGCCAGAGCAGCCACCTTGGCATAAGTAGAGCGGGTGTTGAGGTAGCTGGCATTGCTGCGATACTTTTTGGACAGGGTTGACAGATTGCTGGCTCTAGTGTCTATAGCTTAAGGGTAAACAAGGAAGGAAAACACATTTGTAGGCAAGTAAATGAGTAGCAGTAGTAGACATTTAAAAACAGTTAGAAATGTGTGATAGGAACTCACAAATTAATTTAATTAATGAATAAATTCATTTCTCATCACTTACCAGAAAGCGCTTCTCCTCTTTGCAGCACCTCCTCAATATTTGCCACCATTATTCTCTGCACGTCCTGCAGTTCTGTGTTGATGCTGCCTAGAGCTCTCCTGGCTCTGCTGTCCACGTACGTTTTCTTGGTTTTCTGAATGTATGTGTCTGAAATAGAGTCCATAATAGAATGTCATGACCTGCCGTTTTCGCCGCAGAGGCGATAACAGGGAAATGGATCGACAAAAGGCCTTACCGAACTCAATGAAAGAGTACGGCCTCGTCGCTGCGTGCGCCTTCCTTCCATACTGGTCGTAAAACTCATTACTGAGGTCTTCGAGGTAGGCGAACGCCATCTTTTTAGGGAATGAATCCTCACATAGGCACAGGTAGCACATGCCCTGTGCTATTAGGTAGCTTCAGGCATAACACGCAACAATAATCAAATACATCATGGACAAAATACTTAATCTTGTACAGAATGTGTTATCTTACTGAAAGTTCATGTCTCCAGCCTCCAGGGTGCAGCGGTCAGGGCTATGGGCATTCAGTTTACGGCAGAGTTGTTTGGCCTGGCTCTGGTACTGCTGGAGGTCTCTTAATGACTGAGAGCAAACCACAAACAGATGCCTGTCAAAACTAAGATGGGAACAATGTCATTGTCATTGTCAACTAAATCTTAAACCTAAACGTCTCCCCTCCTCAAACACACCTACAGAGATGTGATGCGTTTGAAATAGGGGTCAAAGGGCAGAGCTCTAGCTCTGCTGTTCCTTTCACTAAGTTTTTATACCTTGTCAACTTATCTAAGTGTATTACTTGAAAGGTTTTCAGCAAGTCACGTGATAATACATAGTACAATATCACCCAAGAAACCTCTTTAAAAATCAAACACCAATAGTACTTACGAGAATTTTGTTCCTCGAACTCGCTTCAAATACAAAAAACAAATAAAATAAACTATTGAAAGATACTGACCTGCTCATCCTCTTGTATAGACGCAGCCAGCGGCAGTCCGTCCACCACGCGTGCAATCATTGTTAGGTAAATCATGATGCTGGAGGTCCGGCGGCGTTAACGGTCACGTCTGCCCAAATAATCCAGTGCAGGAGAAGGCGGGAGGCCAGGGACTGCCAATAATTTGGATGAAGTAATCAACTTGGAGAGAAAACTTTTAACAAACAGAAGCGGTCGTACAGGCATGGGAAAGTGTCGAAAGTGTTCTTTCGTTATCTTCCTACTTTATCTTGACGCTTGTTGCTGTTGTTTTGGCGTGAGAGTGTAGTCACTTCAAAGTTCAAACTTCATTTTCTGTCACTTGAAAGGCTCAAAAAGTGTTATTTAGACAGAAACAAACGTCACTGCTCGATATTGCTACAATAGACGTCCTCATACTTAGTTAGAGAACTGTTTTGTTAGATTTACGCTTTCTCAACTGATGTTTGAGAAGGAATGAGTTGGACGGAAGTGCCTGGTGCGTCACTAAGTTCAGCCCGGGTGGGAACTCACAACATTCACCGACGCAGCAGCTAATTTTCCACTAGATAAAGTGGGATAAATCTTCTTGAAATCAAACGGAATTATATCGGATGTATCTTAAACATTGAAAAAAATCATGGTGAGATTATTTAATCCGAATCTGTAATTATAGTTTATTAATTATTTTGAGGCGCATCAGGCCATGAGCTCCAGCAGTCCTAGCAGGCATCGGGCAGACGGACTGACGGCGTCTGCGATGCGGATCTGAAAATTGGTCTGTGTCTGGAGCAGAAAAACCCTTTCTAAATTGAAACCAAGGGGAGCAGATCTCGACCATGGATAAATTTAAACGGTAAGATTCATCCCACCACCTCCCCCCGCGTCTGTCTTCTTATAATCTATTGTTTGTTTATTTGGGTCCGTATGGGTGTTCATTAATCGCCGTTCGTTGCCTGTTGGCAGAGGAATGGCTACATGTATTTATTTCGCTATTTTTATACCATCCTTTGCATTTAGAGGCGATTAAGTTGTTTCCTTTCCTCAATAGTTTACCGTTTAACGGTGGTTGACTGTTTATATCTGTGTATCTCTTAAGGTTTTGTATTTCTCAACCCATTTTAGTCACCAATAAATTTAAATGATGGAGCAGCTTTTGTAGATTTATTTATCAGTGTATGTTTTGTTGTGGAGTCAGAATAAAGTGGCACACGTGAGAGGAGCAGCTGACATGGAAGCGCAGCTGGAATCAGCTGTTAATATTCAACCGAATCTCCCCAGGATCAATCAGTATTCTTGACTTAGCCTCCTGCAAGAGAAAGAGAGAAACACGTATGCTGTATGGGTTATAGGATGCCGAAATATGGTGACACTAGGATTTATCTTGACGAGAGATCATTTAAATGACAAAGAATTTAGAATAGCTTCTACCGTTACGCACAATGGCATCATCATTTTCATAATCATTACCAGGTTCTGTGTAGACTGAAAGGGACTTATTGTTGCAGAGCAGCTGGCACCACTGGGCTCTAATCCTGATTGGTGCTTTCTCTCTCTTCTCTGTGGCTGTGTGTGTGTGTTGTTTGTGTTTGTGGAGTGAATCCCAACCAACAACCCCTTTTGTTTTATATATATATGTATATTTTAACTCAATACCTCATGACACTAGTGGTCACTTTGCAGGTGAATGACCTCATGTCACTTGAAGCACTTGTAAATGTATCCAAATATATTTTAATCCTTTTATGCAAAAAGACAACAAATCCATGAAGGACTTCCTTTGGAAGAAGTGAAGATGTGAGAAGACTGTTGCGAACGAGGGACTAGATTATTGTTATTTACTCAAATATACTTTGAGTCTAAAGATATGAGGTGAAATCAAATACAGCTGTTACTGTACATATCCCGTCAAGCTGTGTGTGTGAGTACAACAACTTTGGTTGATAAATATGCAAACGATCTTCTCTGTATGCTGTGCTTAGCTGAACAGAGCAGCTCTGTGCTACTGTAATGGCTCATACTGCTGGTACTTAAGGAGTACGGAGATATTTCCGGAGGCATGTTGTTAAAAAAAAAATCGAGAGCCACTGGTTTAACAACACTCCAGAAATGCAGAGAAAAATAAGAAAAACAGAGAGATGAGTTAGATGTGCAGTAAAAGAGTTCTTTCACAGCACAGGAAGAGATTTACAGGAGATATTGTATTACAGAGCAAAATATAGTCTTTACCACAGCATTGACATTGAGTTTTTGCAGGTGATAACATTTATTCCATCATTCAGCTGTATGCTCATTATAAATGACCTTAGCCAGGAGCATGAGGAAGTAAATAAAGCACAGGTGGGATATAAAAGTCCTATATTTAAAAAAAAACACTCAAATCTGCTCCTTGTTCTGGTGTGATTTGATCGCAGTCTTCATAAAACCGCTGGATCTAATGACACACCGCTCTCTCTTTGTCTTTCTCTCTCTCTCTCTCTCTCTATTATCCACCTCCAGGTGCTACCGTCGTACTCTGGGCTGAAGAGGAGACCGGCTAAAAGAGGAGGAGATGGGCTGCACATCGGCAAAGCAGGTTTCCGCCGTGCCAAACGGTGAGGAGAGCCAGAATAAAGCCTACAGCAATGGGGACCTCCTCTCAGGTCAGTCCGCCGGTGCAATTTTAAAAAAAAAATCAAAATGCGACGAGGGGCTTTTATTTTGACAGTCTGCATCGTTGTGTCATTTTTCTCCTGTTCTTCTGGCTCATAGATGAATACAAGAAAAAAGGAGTGGAGAAATTGAAGTACATCAGTGGAGATCAGGGGGGAGTGGAGAGTCAGGACAGCACAGTGAGTGGCTCAGCTCAGTTACTGTTGTGAATTTGTTTTGATGGAATTACTCCAGTGTGTAAACAGTCAGTAATGATCAGTTTAAATATAAACCTGTGCGACATTCAGCTGTGTAAAGGACGCGTTGACGACATGAGCGTCGCCTCGATCTTTCCTCTTTTCAGGAGAAAAGTGCTCTTCTGGTCAAAGGCCACCATTTGGATGAAAGAGGATCAAATGAAAATGACAAGATGCTGTAAGTAGCACTGAGTAATGATGCAGTATTCGCCCCGCTAATCCCATCTACTCGGCTTCACGTGTCGTGCAGCGGCGGTGAAAACAAGGCTTACAATCTGCTCCGGCTACGTTTGTTTTTCAGAAGCATCCACTCC